GCCCTGAATCTTCCACTGCAACAGGTCTGCATCGACCCTGAACCCTACACCCGCGGCGTCCCCCACTATAGTGTAACTCGCTATGTGCTCCTCTACTGGTTCGAAATCACACCGAGTCGGATTTCATGCTTGTGGTGACCGTAACAGCTCTGAGGCGGGTTCTTCGAGTATCTAGGTAAGGAGGCATCCTTACATTCACGTCTATGCTACATGTGTTTGTGGCTCTACAAATTGGCCTACAACCCCACCTACACGCTCTATATGAGCTTTTTGTGATTGATTTAAGCCCTCCTAAACTGTTAAAACACCTCCCTTAGCTACATATGACCTCCTTACTGCTCTCTTCTTTTTTTGTCTTTCATTTGCAGTCCGTAATATCCTCCAACCACTCAATGTTGGGTGTTTTGACCCACTGAAAAAGGCTTCTAGGCAGCAAATTGAAAACATGATGCAGGCTTAGTGATAATATTGTTTTCCTTGCAGTATTCCTTAAATTCGTCCAAGTGATGGCTTTCATGGCCATCAATGATCAACAAACGATAACCACCTACAGTTTGAGGTTTTGTATGCTTCTCAAAATGTCGAATCCAATCCATGCCTTTCTCATTTGTTGTCCAACCATTATCTGTAACAGCAATTACCTAGTTTGGTGGAAATCCGCTGTTTTCATACCAAGACACGAGGTGGTTTTTGCCTGCAACAATGATAAATGGTGGAATCGCCTAGCCTTGGGAATTAACACGCTATATTACTATGTACTTTCTTTGCCTTTATACATCCATCAGAGCTTGTTACCACTGTTACAGTTGAAATAATGCCCATCATAAACCCTGTCTCATCGAAGTTGTAAATATTTGCATCGTAGATGTCATACTTCACAATTGTGTTTCGCACAAGCTCAAACCAGCTACGAATAATTACTAGGTATTCGCATTTAGCCCTATAATAGTCGTATTTGTGCTAGAACCTTGTTTTGAGTTTTGTGCGACGTTTAACAAAGTTGGAAGCCTAGCGCGTCTTAACAGGTAACGTGTCACGCGTTGCGAGAAGTTGATTTGCAATATCTCCCACAACACACAATCGGGGAGGAAATCCTTTGGCAGTTAGGTCGAGAATATACTGGGACAAGGATTGATTTCTCTAAGTCGGTCATTTTCTGCAAATTGGCAGAAATATCGCGTTGTGAATGCATACCATGCTTACGACGACAAAGTGTTACGGCTATGGTAACGTGATGTCATGGTTACAGGACCAGGGCCTAGTAACGTAACGTGTGAGTCACAGGGGGCAAGCGGGGTAGGCTGCCATGTGGCGGGGCTAATGGATAGTTGCAGAAACTAGTGGATATTGGATAGTTGAGCTATCCACGAACTATCCTGAATATCTAGCTATCCGCCAACTATTCAGAGTACCCATAAGGCACGATGCCACTATATAAGTAGATAGTATTTCCTTAGATAGGAGCTTCATGCTCAACTCAATATAGTATTCTTTATAATACTGTAACGTGTTACTTGGAAAGTCTTTGTGTCTAATCCCCTGTCTCCTCTGTCAAGTCAACCTTACGCAAGAAACCTCTGTGTCTTCTATCGTTTAGAAGTCAGCGTTATACAAAGCTTCTGGTGGTCGATAGAATAGAGATTTCTAGCAGCTCGAGTGCTTAGCTTGGGGTCATTTTGGATTACCTAAGAGCTAATATAACTTAGCTTTCATCTTTTTTCTGCGGCATCTTTTTTTGTGAAGGGATTTACTGTTTACTAGAGGAGCTGTGTGGATTTAACGTAGTGTATCATTCGTTATGTTGTATCATTCATTATGCATGCACATTAATCTAACTCTCATTATCTGCATCGTCACCGCTGTCTTCATTGTCGCCTTGTGATATAACACCCCAATTCCATAAGCAAAGTAGATATCTAAGTGTAGAAGTCAACAGCCAGTTCTGTTTCTTTGTGATAATATCACTGCTAACACTAAATACTCGTTCTGAGTCTGCTGAGGTAGCTGGAATAGCCAGGTGGTCCTTCGCTATAGAAGCAATCAATGGATATTAGTATCGCTTACTCTGCTAATACTTAAGAATATCTATGTCCCTACCAACTGTTGGCTCCTTCATCCATCGCTTCCATTCCGGCTTAGTATTGTGATGGCTTTGTGATGTATAACTCGTCTTCTGAGTCTACATCAATATTCATAGCTTGCTCTTTATCTAGATCCTCATCTTCGATACTATTAATAACGTTTTCAGACTCGCGGCCTGAATATCGGTAGAAGCCCTTTAAGGAGCCACTGCCTCATCTCTAAGTGGATCTATGTCAAAAGGTGGACAGTCTTTTGTGATTTAGTATATGGCTCCATCTTGCGTTCGAGGTCTTAAGATAGGCCACAAACTTAGGAATGCTATGTCCTTTCCTTTGGTTGGCTGCGTTGTACTTTAGGGCTGCAATGCATTGCTAGTTGGCTAGTGTAATGGTGGGTGCACCAGATGTGAGAATCTAGCCACCCAAGGAAGGGATGATTTTACTAAGACAACACACTGTCTTAGGAAACAGAGCCAAAGGGTTGTAGCTTAGACTATTCCACAATGCAGCAATCAGGTGTGTGATGTAGTGAAGTTGTTCAGACAAGTTGCAACAAATGTTGAGTCTGGGAACTCAGGGGTAAGTCAGAGGTTAACACCTCACTGACTTTTCAGAAACAAGGAGTAACAAGATGAATGCTTGGAAGCTTGTAAAAGACGGGGAAGTATGTGATAGTCGATTTACTGTATTGCCTGCTTGCCCTTTCTTAAGGAAAGGGCAATCCTATTTATGCCAAAGGAGTGCAGTTCTCTCATTTTCCATGACTTTCCATGACTAACCAGGCTTGGTAAATGTATTAGAAATTAAGTGCGACCCACAACTAGCTTGCTAATCATGTAGTGAACGTAAGAGAATCCCATAGAACCATCTCTTGGGTTCCTAGCCTATAGGAAGTGAAAAGGAGGTCCAAGGTCAGAGTACCTATAGATAAATTATGTCATAACTTAACCAATCTTGTGGGTAACTAAGGAGCGATGACGTGTAATGAATCATAGAGGGTTGTAGAAGCTTCTAGAGCTATCGTTGATGTTCCTAGGCCTCTAGTTGGTAGAGATATGCCATGTGGTAGTATTGGCCCACCCCCTTAAGGAGGAGATTTTCTTAATAACTTGTTCAATGAGTGTTCAAATGATATGCCGTGATGTATGTAGCATAAACAGATGTAGTAGAAGAGTTTGCAGCAATCGTTGAGTAGTATTGCTTCTGTTGTTGGTGTGATAAGCCAAGATATGTATGGTGACTTGTAGGTTTGAGGAGGAGATTTCTAAGTTTGCTCTTGAGTTTGATAGCAAACTGAGTGCACGAATGTCAGTATGACAGCTAGGTTGACATAGAGGTCTCGAAGGAACTTCTCAAATCTAGCGATATCCAAAGGGTCTATATACCCCTCTGTTTAGGAGGTGCACTGGTTATCCCATTCCTTCATAGGGTGTCCTTCTAAGTATTAGGCAGCAAAGGCCACCTTCGATTAGGAAGACCCTTAGTTGGTACCTAAAGATGGCACAGATCGAAGCCATGAACTCGTTGAGCTCCTAGATGGATTTGCCCATGTATACCTTGGGTTCCTTAACCCTCCCTATTAGTCTTTAGGCTGGTGTGGTCTCCCTCAATATAGTGGAAGCAGTCTCCATTTCCTGTCCTTCCTCCCCTCGAGGGTCCTCCTACTCGTCTTTGATATCTTAGTGTCGCCTTTTGCAACAACTCTCTTCCTAGATTAGGGCTTGCTTCTTCACAAAGTCCTATACAGCCTTAGGGTAGGCATCATAGTCCAATACAAGTGATAACTATGGCATCACATATGAGGGGTTTAGTATGCGACGCCATACTTATCACTTGTATTAAATATAATATGATCATACGACTCTATTACTAACTCTACAGCTACATGACGTTCCTCTAAGGTGATTACTAACAAATACTCTAACTACAACAGGATTATGGCTCGCTGTAAGTCTTTAGCAGATAACTGTTAAACCTCTACAGTCCTAAGTCCTAAATAGGAAGTAGTGGAGCAAGGGCTTGCAAGGTTTGTACAGGGATTATGGCACTAAATTCTCATATTTTCTATACTAACTACATACGGGGGTGTTGAACAGCCCCTAAAATGCTCTATTTAGCAACTGAATTATACCTGCAATTGTAGCAATGCAATCAACAAGTCGCATGTCTGCCTGAAGCTAACCGATATCTGCTCTTCATTGGCTGATTCTAGTGGCCCACATATGATCTCATCCATTTTAGACTAACTGAATATGGAGCGTAACTGATTCTCTAGAATGATACACTCCATAGTCAGTTAGTCTGGATTGTGTCTCGTAATGTGCCAAACTATCGTTGTTCACATTGAGATGAATCCTGTTTGATGACCAGTCAAACAGGAGCGGGGAGTAAACCTAAGAACCCGAGAGTCATTGAGGATTACTCTTTTCTGGTTACTTTAATGCAGTCACTCCTAATGAATACCTTTCAAATAATAATAGTAGGGCAAAAGATCTATATACCTGGCACCACCCCTGTAAAGGTTCACATACCCTGAGCTTTAATAAAAGATGGGCAAAAACTCGATATACCCAGTAAACTGGTAAGAAAACTCCATCTACCCAGTTGGCCGCTAACCCTCCTTTGGAAAGGTTAATGAGCCAATGAGAGGCGTACTCTCATTTGAGAGTACGTGCTCTCATATGGCCTTTTTGAAGCAATTGAGCTGGCAATATACCAGCTCAATTGCACGGTAAGTCGGGGGTCAATTGAGACCCCAGAACCTCCTCCCCCTTCCCTTCCTCCCCTCCACCACAGAACCCCGCTGACACCTCCCAGGCTCCCTCCCTCCTCCAACCCCCTCGAAACCCCCCTCGGAAGCCCTCGCGCGAGGCACAAACTCCCCTGCCTCCCCTGCCCCTGCCTCCTACGATAGCCTCGCTACCTGAACTCGCTGCCCCTGTCGACGGTAGCGAGTTCCTCGACTTGGACGCTTGATCCCATGCTCTGGATGACTGGGCCGTCAAGGAGTAGTTATCCTGGCGGCTCCATCAGAGGGACAAAGACGGGGCAACTGCAGTTTGTGCCCGGCGTCCTCGAGGACGCCGGGCTCGCCAGGATCACGGAGGACTTCTGCCACTTGGGGCAGTTATTGCAGTGGTGCCGGACTTGGTCCGCACATGCTGCGGCACCTGTGGCTAGCCTGGGAATAATGCTAGGACTTGCCCCAGGCCTCATAATTGACCCGTTCTCATATGAGAACGGGGGGGGTTTCTAGATTGGGCTTGGGTGGGTCACTTGGGATGGAACTGGGTATATAGAATTTATTTATGGGCAAAAGATCCATATACCCCGTACAACGCGTAAAAAGATCGATATACCCTGTATGTTTCAAGAAGATATATACCCTGTAACCCCCCAGTCTCCAGTCCCCCCAAGTCGTAGTCCTCCGTAACCCCCCCACTACCAAAAAGAGCCATAACGGCCAGTTGAGCTTGCCAACCTCATTGATGAGCCTGGGACAGCGCCGGGCATTGTGCCCTGCCTCGCCGCAGGTTCTGCAGTGAGAGCGGACAACAAGAGGATCTCGCCGTCGAGGTCGACGGCAATCCTCTCGCCGAATCCTCTCCTTCCTAGGCCTCCCGCACAAGACCTGTGTAATTGGAGGATCACACGGGTCCTGCGCATTAACCTGCAGCTCCGATATATCAATCGGAGTAAAAGGAACAACATAGGAAGCTGCCCATTGGGAAGCTGACATTATAACAGGGAGAAAGGGGGCTAATTTCCCCCCTCCAGCGAAGATCAGTGTCATAGCATGCCCGCAAGGGATGCCATTACACTGATAACGGCGGCAGGAACATGTTCCTGCTGCCGTATCAATGAGGTAGATGGTGCCGTCTGGCGCACCACCCTCCCCATTGTTGGGGAAGAGATCTGGACCCGGTTGCTCCGGGCCAATTCTCTCCCTACGGAGTTGTCAACCAGCCCTCAGTAATGGCAGAGGTTGCTGCTAGCAACCTCTGCCCCAGCTTCTCCATCACTCAATGCCAGATGGTATCAAGGAGCTCCACAATTGGGAGCTCCCGGTCGATGCAGAGAACCTGATTTAGGCTCTCCGCAATGTTGCTAGTATTGTGGCCAAATCGATGGCCACGAAACCAAGCCTCTGCCCAAGTCTCAGGCTAAGCCTGCTCGGGATAAAGAGCCGCCTCCGGCTTCTTTGCTCGGATCTTTTCGAGGGCGCCATCCCAGGCTGCCCTGGTCTTTGCCCGTGCTGCAGCCCAGAAAAGGGGCTGTAGCGCCCTTCCAAACTTCTCCGTGAAGTTCTCTTTAAGGTGGTGGCAGCAATGTGCTACTACCACCCTGTAATGGTGGGTGCACCAGATGTGAGAATCTAGCCACCCAAGGAAGGGATGATTTTACTAAGACAACACACTGTCTTAGGAAAAAGAGCCAAAGGGTCATAGCTTAGACTATTCCACAACGCAGCAATCAGGTGTATGATGTAGTGGAGTGGTTTAGACAAGTTGTAACAAATGTTGAGTCTGGGAACTCAGGGGTAAGTCAGGGGTTAACACCTCATTGACTTTTCAGAAACAAGGAGTAACAAGATCAATGCTTGGAAGCTTGGAAAAGACGTGGAAGTATGTGATAGTCAATTTACTGTATTGTCTGCTTGCCCTTTCTTAAGGAAAGGGCAATCCTATTTATGCTAAAGGAGTGTAGTTCTCTCATTTTCCAAGACTTTCCATGACTAACCAGGATTGGTAACTGTAGTCGACGTAAGAGAACCCCATAGAACCATCTCCTAGGTTCCTAGCCTATAGGAAGTGAAAGGAGGTCCAAGGTCAGAGTACCCCTATAGACAAATTATGTCATAACTTAACCAATATTGTGGGTAACTAAGGAGCAATGACGTGTAATGAATCATAGAGGGTTGTAGCAATCGTTGAGTAGTATTGCTCTTGTTGTTGGTGTGACAAGCCAAAATATGTATAGTAACTTGTAGGTTTGAGGAGGAGATTTCTAAGTTTGCTCTTGAGTTTGATAGCAAACTGAGTGCAACGAATGTCAGTATGACACACCCTCCCTCCAAAACCCCTCTCTGCCTCCCGAAGCCCCTTGTCTCTATCAGAGACAAGGGTGCTCTCCTCTATCACAAGCTCAGGGAGTGCTAAAGGAAGGTGGTTTAAGAACCACCCCCAAGATTCCCCGTTCTCCGACTCCACCACCGCCCATGCAAGAGGAACAAGCTCACCATTAGCATCAATACTAACGGCAAGCAGTAACGTAAGGATAAAACGGGCCTTTAAAAAGGTCCCGTCTACTGCCACTAGCCGGCAGCAAAGAGTAAACGTGCCCCTCAAAACCGAGGGGCAAACAAAGATGCGCTTAAAGCGCATGTGGATATCCCGAAGGAGATCTACATGTGCTTCAGGAGATTCCCTCTCAAGGAGCTCTTGTAGGCTGGAAACAGCTGGAAGCTGTGCCGTTGGGTGCCAATATCGCCATCAAGAAGGTGTAGGCGGCATTCCTGTGCCCTCTTGTAGTCAATCTCCTCTGCAAATCGAATGCGGAGGAGATCTCTAATCTCCTTTGGGGTGGTCTTCGTCGTCACATTCAGGTGATGAGAGACCACCAGATTTAGCCAAGCCTTCTTCGACGAGGAGGCAAACTTCTGCACTCCTTGGCTGACGCAGGAGTGCTCTGGCTCGATAATAGTAAGGGCCCATCATCATCGTAAAAGGTGGGTGTAGCTTGGCATCGCCAGCTACACCCATCCTCCTTCTCTGCACAGATGAAGGAGGCCTTTGTAGCCTCCCACTTCTCCGTCCGAAAGGAAAATTTGCCCTTGACAGCCCAGTCGTCAAGGGCCCGAACAAGGGCGTCGAGGTCGAGAAACTCAGCCTTATCCGATGTGACTGAGAGCCCTGCGAGCGAGGCCATATCAGCCAAAGGGAGAGGGAGGGAGGGAGAGACGTCTCGTCGAGTGCTTCAGAAGGTCGCCGTGGGGGAAGGAGGTGGACGCGCGACGTGTAAAGTGTAATCCTATTAATAGTTAGTACAGGGTATATTAATCTTTTTTGCTTACTTGCAGGGTATATAGATGTTTTGCCCTTTATCTATTGTTTTACTGGGTATATGGAGTTTTTGCCCATAAAACATTTATATAGCCTGCTGCCACCTTTGGCTTCCTCCATGACTCCATTGACCCTGATGTCCCATATGACACCGCTGCTCCACTGACCTTTCTCTCACCATACTCTGGAAAGCGCCCTACTCATGCAGGCACCAGCAGCTTCTCATATTCCCACAAGTAGAGCAGCGCCCAACACCAGAAGCTCCCTCTCCCCTCCCAACTCTCCTCTGTGGGTCCTCCTTCCGGAACCTCTCCTTCTTTGGCCTCCCCTGTGGGACTGTGTTATAGGCGTGAAACATGGATCTGTTTCATGAGCTCTAAGCTTAGAAATGGTAATGGGAGGCATTAGGGTGTTGTAAGACGAATTTCTCCTTAACTCCCTAGTCGTTGTAAGGATGCCTCCGCCGTCAGTGATGGAAGGGATCGGAGTCGGACAGGTTACGGTCACGTGGGGAGAGTTAGGGCCGGTTAGCCGAGTCGGACCCGTTTCAGGTACTTAAGGAGATTGACCCAACAGGGGTTCCTCTCTTCATCTTTTTTGTATCCTTCGTAGTAGACCTATAGGATAGCATCCGTTTAGCCTCTGACTCGCACTCTCATATGCTATTACTGTGAGCTGGGTGCTCTGTGTCCTTACAGTCGTCGAGGGCAAGGACAACGGCATCCAGATCTAGGAACTCTGCGCCATCTACTGGCACGACAAGCAGCGGAAGGACGTCATTTGGGGGGGGTTTGAGTGCTAGTGGCAGCAGCGAGGTTGGCTACAGTGAGGCATGGGACCAGCGATGCTGACTAAATGCGGCAGAATCTATTGATAGTTAGCGTTGGGTATATAGATCTTTACAGGGGCGGTGCAGGGTATAACGTACATGTATAGCGAAAGCGCCAAACAAGCGAAAGCGCCAAAATTATCTACCCTCATGACAAACATTGCGATAAATCTACCACAACATTAGAAATCAATTGAAACTACTCGGAGTCCTCTTCCTCAGAGGTGTCTATTACAATCTGACACGTGCGCGCATTGTGCCCAGTCTCACCACACTTGCCACAGTGACGGGCATGGGTTTCTTCCCTTGGCTTCCGACCACGGCTTGCCCTTATTTCCTGCTCTACCTGCTGCACAACATCCCTCTCATCCTGTAGCTCTTGCGCCCCTTGTTGACTAAGTGATCCTCCTTGCTGTAGTCGTGTTTTCCTAGCTCTCCGGCGCTTGCTTAGTACTTCATTTGCCTGTCGTAGGTTTTGGTTCTCTCCCTTTAGCAGTGCTAATTGATGCATTATTTGCGATGCACCCTTTGTAAACTGGTCAACAGCTGCATAGATTGAGGTTGGAGAGCTATTTTGATGGCGTGAAATCCGAGTTTTAATAAATGTAGACTGTGACATAGCTTCAATTGGGTTGTTTGGTGTCTGAGAAACCCAAGGTTGAGCAGTACCTGGGCGGGAGCTTGGAGGCGTTGGTGTCCTTAACTTAAGATCAAGTGTAGATATCACTCTCTCAGGGTCAAATGGAAGAAGCCCTGCCCCTCGGAACCCGCCTCGAATGTTACTTTCCGTCATTGTAGTGATAAATGCAGCGTGGAAGGCAGGAAAGAAGTCATCCTTTGTAATATGAGAAATATGAGCCTGCATCATATCTTCAATTTGCCGACCATAGGCCTGCTTTAACGGGCCGAAACAGCCAACATCAAGTGGCTGGAGTAGATGAGAAGAGTGAGCAGGCATACAAAGCGTAATAATGTTGTGTTCCTTGCAGTACTCCTCAAACTCATCTGAGTGGTGGCTCTCATGACCATCAAGGACTAACAAGCGATAACCACCAACACTCCGGGCCTTTGTATGCTTCTCAAAGTGCTGAATCCAATCCATGCCTCTCTCGTTTGTAGTCCAGCCATTTTCAGTAACAGAAATCACCCAATCGCTTGAAAATCCACTATTCTCATACCAAGATGTAAGGTGGTTTTTGCCTGCAACAATGATAAATGGTGGTACTGCCCAACCTTGAGAACTAACGCCTTGGATTACTGTAACCCATTCCCGATTACCAGGCTGTACCTTCTTTGCTTTTGCCCGCCCGTCTGAGCTTGTTACAACCATAGCAGTTGAGATAACGCCCATCATAAACCCAGTCTCATCAAAGTTGTAGATATCTGCTTCATCGATACCATATTTCGCAATTGTGTTACGCACAAGCTCAAACCAGCCATTAATAACTTCTGGATCTTCGCACTTAGCCCTCTGGTAGTCGTATTTGCGCTGAAAGCGTGTCTGGAGCTCTACATGCCGCTTAACAAAGTTTGAAGCCCAACGCGACCCAACGCGTGACGCGTCGCGTGTTGCAAGTAGTCGACTTGCCATATCTTCAACAACAGACAGCCGAGGAGGAAACCCTTTGGCAGCTAGGTCGAGTATATACTGAACAAGGACGGACTCCTCTAGGTTAGTTAATTTCCATGAGTTGGCTTGGATATCGCGTCGTGAAGGTACACCTTCTAGACGACGACCTAGCTTGCGGTGGTCCACAGAATAGATCCTAGCAGCAACTCGAAGGCGTAACTTTGGGTCGCTTTGCATAGCCTGGATAGCTAGCACTAATTGGCTTTCATCGTTTTTATGGGGCATGTTTTGTTGTTGAGGAATTTAACATTTAGTTGGGGGGTTTGGTCACCGCATCATTTTGGCGCTTTCGCTTGTTTGGCGCTTTCGCTATACATGTACGTTATAGATCTTTTGCCAAAATATCTAATCGTCGCGAGGGCGCTAGCAAGTCGGGCAGCTCGAAGGGGAGCTTTAAGTCGGGGAGCTTTAAGTCGGGGAGTGTAAAGACGGGGGGGAGAAGGCGCAGAATGATTATTGGAGTGCGGTGAATGAGACGAGGGAGAGAAGATTCCACTCGTCTCCTCCGGACTGTGCTCCTTTTCATCCCAGATTACCCATTTTGCCTTTCGTTGGGCTTCCAGGACCAATATTCCCACCTTCAGAGCTATGGCAGAACTAAATATGCTACTGTAGGTGAGCTCAGGCTTGTCACCCGATGACAGGAAGAGTGTCCAGGAGAAGAGTCAAGAACAAATAGCTATTCAACAGCACGGAAGGCCTTGGGCTCTTGCTGTGATCAACAAGACTCAGCGTAATCATGAATAGGGCTCACACAAATCGAGGACGCTATAAACATGCTGGTCACATGGAAGGATCCAACGCCAAGCAAGATGAGGAGTGAAAGTTCAAGCCCGACATAGGTTGTAATAGCACCCTATAATGGTTTAATGGGCATACTTTGGCCGTACATCTGCATAGTATGACCGTACCAATTTGATCAGCTGGAAAACCGGGGCATTCACCACGGCGCTGGGCTTCCAGCTTGTGAAACATAACGATGTCACGATGAATAAGACGGATCGGACTATCGAAAAAACAGCTGCTCGAACTGTACGTTGAAGTCAAAGTCTCCTTGGTTCATCTGGAGCAAGCTCCCCTCCCCAGTAGTGAACGGCATCTTGGTCCCCTGGATTCAAGGCTTTTGGCTGAAGTTGATTTCGCTGTGACGCAAGGCGAACCTCGCCTTTGGGGAGACTGATCGTGTTCTTTTGGATTGCTCGCCACAGGGCTAAGTTTAGAGGATAGGAAAGCTGATTGGCAATTTAGGTTGGTTGGTAACTCTACGAGATCGGGCAATCAAGCTATCGCGGCGAAGATATAGGATGAGGCTTCGTCAGCATCTTAAGTCTTGAGGCATAATGCCGCGTCAGGGCTGTGGTCTTGAGATCCTTGCTCTGGTATCTGGCTTATTGGACCAGCCATATTGAACTCCGACGACGCATCCGCCCAATAACCAACACTGACGGGCGGGTGCTCGGCGTCGTTTATAGCTAAGATAGGAACGTGCGATCAGTGTACCGACCACATCGCATCCTGCGTTCTGGCGACGCGTCGTGAATAAGACGGTACATCTTTTCTTCGCTCGAATGGGAAAGTGTTTTGAGAGAAGTAAATGGTGCTGGTGATGGCGAGGATGCAAGATTTTGACAGTTGCGTGATTGGATGTTTTATGATTTGTAAGAAACCAGAAGCTTACCATAGCATATTACATGGTGGGGTAGTAAAATATGCTGCTTATGTTGCTTATCTCGTCAGCAACATCGGAGTTTGATCAAGCAGCCGCTGTCAGCACCTTTATTGCAAGTCTTCTCACCTCGGAAATTATCAATAAATGTAGAAAGTACCCACGTCTGATTCTACTATAAGTTACATCAATGCCAGATCGTCCAAGTTGACCTGCCAGCACTCTGACCATATCGTAGCCCCGCCACAATGACCCAACCACGCAACCCAATCCTTATCGCCGGCGGCGGCATCTCCTCCCTCCTCCTTGCGCGCTCCCTCCTCCGCTCCTCCATCCCGTTCCTCCTCTTCGAGAACGACGCCTCGTTGACCTTCCGCGCCCAGGGCTACCGCCTTCGCCTTTCGGCCGAGGGCCTCGACGCCATCGAGTTTGTCCTCGGACCCGATGCGTGGCAGCGCTTCTGGGACACGTGCGGAAAGACTGGAGGCGGGGGCCTTGGGACCGTGGATGCGCGGACGGGAGAGAAACTAGAGCCGCCGAAATCTGCTGATGGGAAGAAGTCTGTGACTCAGACCCTTGCGAGTCGCGATGGGAAGGTCGTGGGGATTTCGCGCGGGGATATGCGAAGGTTGTTTATGGAGGGATGCGAGGAGTTTGTGCATTGGTCGCATCACGTCACAGGCTATGGATTAACTGCCAATGGTGTCCACGCCATCTTTGCGGACGGCTCGAAGTCGGTGGAGGGATCTATGCTGATTTCTGGTGAGGGTATCCGTTCCAGCGTCGCCAAGCAGCTTTCGGGCGGGAAACTGAAGGTTTATGACACGGGCGCGAGAGGAATCCACGGACAGGCTCCAACGACGGCATTCAAGAGGCTTGGAGAAGGCGTATGGATCCTCCTTGACGAATCTCACCCTAAGGGAAAAGTTTCCGTCATTACCAACGTCCGTCCGGACGAGATGGACGATCCGTCCCTGAATTTCGGGTGGACCATGGTCGCCGAGCCTGGCATTGTCGCACCGCCTAACAATGATGATTCTACGATCGGCGCCCCAGCCGCCGATGTGGCCAAAGAGCTTACAGCTGACTGGCACCCGCGCTTTAAACCCCTTTTTGACGAGATGGTGTCCTCTGACGCGGCGTTCTGGAAAATTACTTGCTCGACCCCCACTGGTGTGCCGGAGTGGGAGAACCAGAACAGAGTAACTGTGATTGGAGATGCAGCGCATTCCATGACGCCTGCTGGGGGGATTGGGGCGAATACTGCGGTTAGGGACTCGGCGCTTCTTGGTAAATTGCTCGCTGAAGCGGGGGGTTATAAGGAGGGCGTGACAGCTGCGTATGAGAAGGAGATGAGGGTTTATGCTAGTGAGGCTGTCCAGGCGAGTTATGGGATGGCGAAGAATCAGATGGGGATTGTGATTGACGAAAATACGAAGACGTTGTGAGGGTGTGGGTGTTACCCAAGGGATCTATTAGATATATCACAGGCATATATTCCGCTCAACTCGGCGCAATTTATAACCAACAAATAGAAATATATTTCCACGTATTTCCATATTTTTCTTGTCACCTAGTCTCAAGTCCGTCGTACCTCCGACGCTGTCTCCATAACTACAGGCACACAAAAGCTTGATTTTAATGCTACGGCGTAAGGTAAACTGTATGTGGTGTGAGAACGGCGATGCAATCGTACTGCCGTGATGCATAATATTTCTCCAAATACCCATTGAATTAAATTACTCCCATTACCGCCAAACAATTAATCTAAGCGCAACTCCATATAGTCCATCCAACCCTATTCGCTATCACTATGCCATTTTTCGAGCATCCGTCGAATCGCATGATGCCCATTTCCAGATGCCCTCCTTATAGCATTTTCATACTGCGCTTGTCCGTCGCCAAATATGTTTGCTCCAGCATTAAGCAGTTGAACCATGCCGACTCTTCCATGTTCGGCTGCTCCTTACAATGCCGTCCTCCCATCAATCTTCGCAGGCGGGGTATTGACGTCCGCCTCGTATTCTCATAAGGGATGGGCACTTCCGAGAAACCCATGCATGGCAGCGTATTGTATAATCACGTACGAGAGGTCCTAGGACGCCTACGCAAGGCGAACCTATACGTAAAGCTCTCGAAGTGTGAGTTTAATGCTAAGAAGGTAGGCTTCCTTAGGTATATCGTCAAGGGGTTGCCATGGAGGACGACTACGTTGCTGCAATAGCTAAATGGCCTATACCTAGGACCCACCGACAGGTCTAGGTATTCCTTGGCTTTGCCAACTTCTACCGGCGTTTCGTCAAGCAATACTCCTCCATTGTGGCCCTAATGACAGGCCTTATGAAAGGAGCCAAAGCAGGCAAGCCAACAGGTCCATTTATCTAGGGAATAGAGCAACAAGATGCCTTACGAGATCACCTAGCGTATTAGCAAGCAGGCGTACTAGTTGAAGCTACCACTAAGGTATAAGGCGATCCACAACATGTTCCATGTCTCATTACTAGAAAGGTATTAGAAGAACACAGAGGAACCCAACACCACCTAGTCTAGAGATCGTAGTTAGTGACGAAGAATACTAGGTAGAAGTGGTCCTAGACCATAGGACAATTAGGAAAGGAAGAGGAGACAGATGTAATGGTGGGTGCACCAGATGTGAGAATCTAGCCACCCAAGGAAGGGATGATTTTACTAAGACAACACACTGTCTTAGGAAACAGAGCCAAGGGTTGTAGCTTGGACTATTCCACAATGCAGCAATCAGGTGTATGATGTAGTGGAGTGGTTTAGACAAGTTGTAACAAATGTTGAGTCTGATAACTCGGGGGTAAGTCAGAGGTTAGCACCTCACTGACTTTTCAGAAACAAAGAATAACAAGATCAATGCTTGGAAGCTTGGAAAAGACATGAAAGTATGTGATAGTCGATTTACTGTATTGTCTGCTTGCCCTTTCTCAAGGAAAGGGCAATCCTATTTATGCTAAAGGAGTGTAGTTCTCTGATTTTCCAAGACTTTCCATGACTAACCAGGCTTGGTAACTGTATTAGAAATCAAGTGCGACCCACAACTAGCTTGCTAATCATGTAGCTAATGTAAGAGAATTCCATAGAACCATCTCTTGGGTTCCTAGCCTATAGGAAGTGAAAGGAGGTCCAAGGTCAGAGTACCCCTATAGACAAATTATGTCATAACTTAACCAATCTTGTGGGTAACTAAGGAGCGATGACGTGTAATGAATTATAGAGGGTTATAGAAGCTTCTAGAGCTATTGTTGATGTTCCTACGCCTCTAGTTGGTAGAGATATGCCATGTGGTAGTATTGGCCCACCCCCTTAAGGAGGAGATTTTCTTAATAACTTGTTCAATGAGTGTCCAAATGATATGCCGTAATGTATGCAGCATAAACAGATGTAGTAGAAGAGTTTGCAGCAATCGTTGAGTAGTATTGCTCTTGTTGTTGGTGTGATAAGCCAAGATATGTATGGTGACTTGTAGGTTTGAGAAGGAGATTTCTAAGTTTGCTCTTGAGTTTGATAGCAAACTGAGTGCAACGAATGTTAGTATGACAACAGAAAGGAATACAATATTAGGTAGGCTGGTTATACAGCTGTAGACAATCAATGGGTGCCAAAAAATGATGTAGGGCTAGTGTTAATTAAGGCATATCATAAGGAGACAGACACAAGGGAACAAGACATGGCAACGCAGTAATATTAGCCTATAGACTACGTAAAACAATCAGAGATCAGCCTCTAACAAGGACGATGATGAGGATCTTAGCTCTGAAGAAGAGGACAAAGAATCATCACTTAAAGGGGACGAACCTAAAGGCTCTACAGCCTCATCCTCGACCTTAGTTGACAGCTTACACATGGGGGCAAGCGTTGTACCACTTAGAAGGCTTGACAAGGAGTCACTTAAGGAGGGTGAGCCCTAGGTTCTTAGGGGTGATGAAAAGACCAGGAGTCGCAACATGAGGAGTGACAGGGAGGCTCACTCTGCGTTAGGCTCTAGCTGCTTAAAGGGTTAGCAAACACCCAAGAAGAAGGGAAGCCTTAGACCTACAAGGAACTTCATAGAGTTGGTGTAGGCCTCGAGCCTAGACTAGTAGGCATTTAGGACCACGTTGACAGAGGCGTAGGACACATATGTGGCAGCTTTGAGGCCCTTGGTCTTTGCCTTGCCTAGCTTGACGATAGTCTCAGCTTAGTGGAGAAGGGCCTGCTAGGGGTTGTCCACATTGCGCACAAGAACCACAGAGGGTCCTAGCACGACGACTCCATTACCCTTCGCTAGTTAGAGAGCACCCTTGCCCTTAGGGGTAGGGGCCTTCTAGGCTCAGAAAGCATTAGAGTATATGCGCTAGGCCTTGCAGAGGGCAGCAAGGGCCTAGATGGTGGTGCTAGAGTCAGCCTTAAGCCTAGCATAATCATCATTAGCCTAGCTATCTAAGAAAGCATCAGCGGCAAGCTAGAGGGCCTCTATGTTACGGCTAAGTGCTAGTGCTATGGCTAGCGCTTATGGCTGCAACCTCACGTGATGGATAATATTGGATATCATGGATATTATGTTATCCATGTTATCCACAGCGATCCACAGAATGTCATGTGATGGATAACATTTGATATCTTGGATATTATGTTATCCATGTTATCCACGGGGATCCACAGAATATCAGGTGATGGATAACATTGGATATCGTGGATATTATGTTATCCATGTTATCCACGAATATCCCTTGGCACGACGCAACTATATAAGTAGATAGTATTTCCTTAGATACGAGCTTTGTGCTCAACTTCAATATAGTATTCTTTACAATACTGTAACGTGTTACTTGGAAAGCCTTTGTGTTTAATCCCCTGCCTCCTCTGTCAATTCAACCTTACACAAGAAACCTCTGTGTCTTCTATTGTTTAGAAGTCAGCATTACAATAAGGAAGCAGGTGGAAATGGTGGTAAGATAGTGTGACATTTGCAGCAAATCAAAATCCAATAGGCACTTGCCATATAGACAGCTAAAGTCGACTCTAGTACCAACAGGAGCGTGGAAATCTATAGCTTTGGACTTCATTGTCAAGCTACCACCCTCTTGGGACCTGTTAACAGGAGTAGTATTTGACACTATCCTAGTTAGTATGGAAAGACTGACAAAATATAGAACGTTTGTGCCATATTTAGAAGCTAGTGATGGTGAAGCACTCACATACACCTTCCTTCGAGTCATATTAGCCGATCACGGATTACCAGAAGAAATCATCTCAGACAGAGACAAGCTTTTTACTTCGAAATTTTGGAAATCTTTAATGGCACTTTTGGGAACAAATTATAAGCTATCAACAGCTTTCCATCCCCAAACAGATGGTCAAACAGAAAGACTGAATCAAACCCTTGAACAATACCTACAGAGTTATGTCAAGTACTAACAGGACAATTGGGTTTAGATATTACCCATCGCACAGTTCGCATATAACAGCGCGATGACCGAAGCAACAAAAGTCTCACCGTTCTTTGCTAATTACAGCTATTAGCTACAGGCATATAGATAACCACGACCAGATGAATCAAGAGCAGAACAAGCTATAATTGCTACAGAATAACTCAAATCATTCCATGAACAACTCATGACAGACATCCAATTCTTTGTTACGATGGTCACGGAGGTCAAGTGTAACGCTGACTTCTAAACGATAGAAGACACAGAGGTTCTCTTGCGTAAAGGTTTACTTATCAGAGGAGGCAGGGGATCAGACACAAAGGCTTCAAGTAACACGTTACTAGTATATAACGAATACTGTATTGAGTTGAGCACGAAGCTCCTATCTAAGGAAATACTATCTACTTATATAGTGGCGTCATGCCTAGTGGACTCTTGGGAACTCACTCGAGTCCTCGGAGTCCTGGACTCTTAGGATTCTTCTCATCATCCTGCGAGTCCGTCACGTGCCTAGTGGACTCCTGGGAACTCACTCGAGTCCTCGGAGTCCTGGACTCTTAGGACTCTTCTCATCATTCTGCGAGTCCGTCACGTGATACTTTCGGAACTACTATTCCCCGCTGCCCCTCCAGGTACCAGGGCCGGTCTCATGCGACCTCCCTCCTTCCTGTCCTGTAGTTGGCCAGCCTTCTTGTTCCGTCGTAACATCAAGAAGCCAGTCCGGAGAATAATAAGCTAGATTGAATCTAAAGAGAAAAGAAGAAGAAGAAGGAAGGAAGGTGAGGCTATTCCTCGTAATATACAGTTGTCCGCTACTCGGTGTTCCACCCACTCGCTTCGCTCGTAGGTGGCGACAGCAAGTTGTGCGTGCGACAGCAAGATGTGCGTACACCGCTATTTTGATATATAGAAAAAATAATAGTATTCTTCATAACGTAGTATCTACAATGCCTCAAAATAACGATCCTACTATGATTGCTCGCCTTAATGAGGCCCAACAGTTCTTCTTAAAACAACCAAGTACATATACAATTGCTTGGGTTGCAAATAAATTCAATGTCAACCGTGAGACACTCCGACGTCGTATTACGAGTACTACGTCTCCTCAATTACCCCACGGAGGTAGCAATCGAGTCTTATCTCAATCGCAAGAGACCGCGGTCTGTCAATTCATATACGACCAACTTGAGCGCGGGGTCCCTGCCAACCGATCTATGATACTACGGGCAGTTGCAGACTTACGACCTAATCGTACGATACCATCACAACGGTGGCTACAACGCTTTCTAAAAGCACACCCCGAATTTCATACAATTCACACGAAGACGTTAAATACACATCGGAAGCAAGCACAAAAGAAAGAGGTGTTTGAGGAATTCTTTCTCACATATAACGCCCTTATTACAAAACATAACATTAAGCCATATAATTTATGGAATGTTGATGAGACAGGCTATATGATTGGGTGTTATAAGTCTACGGCTGTTATTGTACCAATCGGTGTAAAGCAGTGGACTGTTGATAATCCTGAGAATCGGCTCTCTGTTACTGTAATTGAGGCAGTAAATGCAAGTGGTGCTGCACTTGCAGAAGCTATCATTATCCCTGGCAAACTTCATATGGATTCATGGTACAATGATGACCTTGAGCCAAATGCTCTCATTATTGTAAATGAGAGCGGGTATTCAAACGACGACATTGCAATCCAATACCTTATGCATTTTATCCAACTATCTGCAGAGCATATGGCACCAGATGATACTCGCCTCTTATTACTTGACGGCCATGACTCTCATAAAACAGAGCGCTTTCTTACATTAGCAGAAGAGCATAACATTGTTATTTGCTGCCTTCCTGGTCATACAACACATCTATTACAACCTCTTGATGTAGCGGTTTTTAAGCAGTGCAAACACTTTCATCAAAAGGCACTTGATCAAGCAGTACGTAGCTACGACTATGAGTATAAGCTACGTACGTTCCTTTCAGACCTCCCGCAAATCCGACGGCAATCTCTAACTGTCCGTACAATTCAATCTGGTTGGAGAAATACAGGACTATATCCATATAATCCTCCACTTGTAATTGACAAGATACAAGAGACTCGGAATCAAACACCTGATTATGAGCCATTTGCTTCATATAATATTATCTCAACACCGAAAACAACTATGCAAAGTGTGCAAGCGGTTGAACATTGGCAGAAGAGAGCAGAGGAAGCTTTCTCATCGCCTTCAAGAGAAGGGTTTCAATCATTTGCACGTGGAACTACAGTTGTTCTACACCGGGCAGAGCTCTATAAGACCGAGCTAGATATTATGACTCTACGTGCAGTAGAGCAGAAGGCAGCAAAGGCAAGGGCACGGAAATCACTACAGAAAGGAGGGCAGTTATATGCATCAGATGCACGGAAAATGCGGGAAGAGAAGAAAGCAAAGTTGCAAGCAAAAGCAGACGCAAGAGCAGCAAGGGAATCGGACCAAGTAGTAAAGCAGCTACAAGCGCAAGCACGTAAAATCGAAATTGAAGAGCGTAAGGTTGAGAGGAAGCGGGTAGCAGAGCGGAAGAAGGAAGGGTTGAAATCAAAAGTGATCATTTTACGGTATAGTAAGGATCAAAGTGATAGTAGCAATAGTGGCAGTAGCGATAGTGATAGTAGTTCTATTGATTTTATGTTTTAATTATATAGTTATATAGTTGATATATAAGGCGTCTTTTTCTTCGTTTTATGTGTCGCACATCTTGCTGTCGCACGCACAACTTGCTGTCGCCACCTACGAGCGAAGCGAGTGGGTGGAACACCGAGTAGCGGTTGTAGCCTTGGTGACTAAGGCTGTACCCGTAACAACCATAACAACCATAACAACCATAACAAGCTGTAAGTTATAATCGTAACACTACCCCCCCCCCTACTAAGATTGATCTCCTGATCAAGAGTAAGATCATTGTGGCTTCTGTGGGTAATGTCAGTGGAAACCTTGTGTGAGTTCAGGTGCATTGTTGAAGTTTGTAGCAGGATACTGTAATGGTGGGTGCACCAGATGTGAGAATCTAGCCACCCAAGGAAGGGATGATTTTACTAAGACAACACACTGTCTTAGGAAACAGAGCCAAAGGGTCGTAGCTTAGACTATTCCACAACGCAGCAATCAGGTGTGTGATGTAGTGAAGTGGTTCAGACAAGTTGCAACAAATGTTGAGTCTGGGAACTCAGGGGTAAGTCAGAGGTCAACACCTCACTGACTTTTCAGAAACAAGGAGTAACAAGATGAATGCTTGGAAGCTTGGAAAAGACGTGGAAGTATGTGATAGTCGATTTACTGTATTGTCTGCTTGCCCTTTCTTAAGTAAAGGGCAATCCTATTTATGCTAAAGGAGTGTAGTTCTCTCATTTTCCATGACTTTCCATGACTAACCAGGCTTGGTAACTGTAGTCGACGTAAGAGAATCCCATAGAACCATCTCCTAGGTTCCTAGCCTATAGGAAGTGAAAGGAGGTCCAAGGTCAGAGTACCCCTATATACAAATTATGTCATAACTTAACCAATCTTGTGGGTAACTAAGGAGCGATGACGTGTAATGAATCATAGAGGGTTGTAGAAGCTTTTGGAGCTATTGTTCATGTTCCTAGGCCTCTAGTTGATAGAGATATGTCATGTGTAGTATTAGCCCAGTAACTAAGGAGTGATGTCATGTAATGAATCATAGAGGGTTGTAGAGATATGCTATGTGGTAATATCGGCCCAGTAACTAAGGAGTGATGACATGTAATAAATCATAGATGGTTGTAGCAATCGTTGAGTAGTATTGCTCTTGTTGTTGGTGTGATAAGCCAAAATATGTATAGTGACTTGTAGGTTTGAGGAGGAGATTTCCAAGTTTGCTCTTGAGTTTGATAGCAAACTGAGTGCAACGAATGTCAGTATGAGAGGCTGTGCCTGGCGTGTCCGAGCCAGCTCTGACGACGATCTTCCATTGCTCGTTGTCGGGGCTGGCTAGGACACGCCAGGCACATATGAGAACGGGAGGAGTTTCTAGATTCGGCTTGGGTGGGTCATGTGGGATGGAACTGGGTATATAGAATTAATTTCTTGTTTTACTGGGTATATGGAGTTTTTGCCCTTGAATTATTTGTGATTTTTCTAAGTTTGTAGTTTGGTGTTCTTGCTCTGGATTTTGGTGGGGTCAGAAAAGTCGCCGCTATGGCCACGACTTACGTTACATTAGTGGCGTGTTATGCAGCTGGCTTTAATGTGGGTGACTAGCTTATTTAATCGTCGTAACCAACTTTTCGCTTCGCTCAAGGTTGGAGGAAGCGATCCGCGCGCACGAGACATGGAGGGGAAGCGAAGTACGCGCACGAGAAACGTGCGTCTGTTCACCGCTACTCTTAAACAAAACCATTTCCATAGCTGTACATAGTAATTTATATTGTAACCTGATGTAATTCATTTAATGGAAGGGACTCCTATATCAAATGCCCGTGAGTGGCTTGCAGAAAATCCTTCTGAGTCGAGGCGTGTTGCTAGTCATATTTTCAAGGTCCCAGAATCAACTCTACGAGGAAGCATCAAGCGCCGTATTCAGAACCCACAGCAACGTAAAGGGGGGCAGAATAGGGTACTCTCTACTGCTCAGGCAGAGGCCCTTAAGAAATGGATCCTCGAGCAATATTACCTAGGGCTTGGAGCCAATAGGAATATGCTATTTACTGCAGTCTGCCAGCTCCGGAGCCCATTACCTCCACCGTCACAGAGCTGGCTTACTAAATATATTCAGAATCAGCTTCCAGAATTCCATTTTATCACTACAAAGCCTATTGCACAGCAGCGTGCGAAAGCCCAAGATGAATCTAAGATTATTGAATGGTTTGAAAAATACTTCCAATTTATATGGGATCGCAATATATTACCGGAGTCAATTTGGAATATGGATGAAACGGGATTTAGTTATGGTACCACAGGCAGTAAAAGAACTCTATACTCCAAGCCCTGAGAATCGTACGTCTATTACAGTTATGGAGACAGTATCTGCAACAGGAAGAGTAATTCCACCTGTACTTATTGTACCAGGTAAAATCCATATGGATTCTTGGTACCCAGAAAATCTTAAAGGCAAAGAACTGATATTACTCTCCGATACTGGCTATTCGAATAGCCAGCTTGCCTTATGGTGGCTAGAGCACTTTGCAGTGCATACAGCTCCATATGCAAATGGGAATCCTAGGGTTCTACTCCTTGATTCTCATATAAGCCATACGAGCGATGATTTCATCATTACAGCAGACAAATTGTAAGGATGCCTCCTTACTCGGGGTAGTTACGGCCGTCACGTGGCGCCATCGAGACTCGGGGCCGTTACGGGTCAGTCGCGACTGACAGCCTTAGGCACATAACGTAAGGAAGCCTTAGGCAAACAGGGAGCTAGCTGAGTCGGAGCGGTTTCGGGTATTTTAAGGGAACAGCCATACAGGGTGACACCTTCATCTTTTTTGTATCCTTCGTAGTAGACCTATAGGATAGAATACAGCATCACCTCCGACTCGCACTCCCATATGCACCTACGGAGAGCCGTATTCCCTGTGTCCTTACATTATACAAAAAAGATCACGCCTGCCGGGGACGGCCGTACTTAAATAATATCCCACAACGGAACGACTCAGGAGAACTGTCGAAACACCACCGACCGCGACTCAGTGACATTTCGAAGTAGAGACCTGACGACTTCAAATAGCCGTGACCCCAGAGAACTCACGGACAACCAGTGGATCAGGGTTTGATCCTGCAGAGCAAGCTGGTAAAGTCGCCGACGCGTTGGCGCCGAATAGGATACGAGATCCTTAAGAACCCCCTCAAGCACAGAGGCAATTGTGAACAAGAGTGTTGATAGCTACGAGCTACCGGAAGTCAAACTCTTTCGTATCGACACCGATACACTCCCGAACCAATATGAGGAAAATGACCTCAAACATCCCCCAAGACAATGATGGTCAACCGTCACGAATGTCAACGAGACAAACCACCGCTGCAGCTACGACCGCTGCACCCACCGATGACATACCGGATCGAATGGCAAACCTCGAGATCCAGATGCAAGAGATCAAGGAAATGATAGCCAACCTAGTGGCAACCCAGACCAGAATACCGTCCACGCCACAGGTGGACACCGTCGAAGTTGAGGAGCGACGAACTTCCCCTATGCGAAACACCCCCGAGACAGTTCAGTTGCCGCCTCTTCGAAACACTCGTTCTCCATCGATTCCGAGGATGTATTCCGAAGACCCTCCAAATCGCTACAAGAAATCCACCATCTCTGAGAAGATTACGCCGCTCAGCGATGGGATAGAACATACCTTTATGCAATGGAGCGCGTCCATTCGGGACCGCCTCGTAGTCAATGAGGATCACTACCCTACCGACGTCTCGAGAAGAGCGTTGATATGGGGGACTACGACTGGCGTGGCAAAGAAAGACCGCGAAGCCCCTGAGGACCCGCTCGTCTGAGCTCATCTAGGTTCACACCCGCTGAGCCCGGAAGAACCCAACCGCCGAGGCCTACAAGAAGCCCTCTGGTCTCCTTCCAGAGGACTCCTTTTACGCCCACGGCCCCCAAGCCGGACATTACAGGCCGCGTGCGGACCGCCGTGCCGGCTACGTCCGGGAACTGTTTCAAGTGCGGCAAGCCGGGCCATTTCCAAGACAAATGCCCGCTCAACCCCACCATCAAGGAGATTGACCGCGAAGCCCCTGAGGACGAAGAGCAGTGGGAGGAAGCAGTCACCCACCAGTCGGATGCGTCCCTGGAGGAAAACGACGAGGCCTAGGGAAAGGCTCCTTCCTAGGTCTACGCAAATGTGATCTGCAAGGACTGGATTTACGAGAGCTCTTGGGAGGCTCCCAATTTCTCGTTGATACAACCCTGAGTATGAATGGACTCGGGGTGCAAACGAAGTCACTCGCAGACACAGGAGCAAATGGCTACCTCGTCATTAATAAGCTTTTCGCGCAACGGTTGTCGAAAGCGCTTCAGAGCCCCATACGGAAACTGCCCTACTCTGTACCCATACGTGGATTTCAGCGAAATATCCAAAGCTACGTATCGGAGTATATTCGGTTACACTTGACAGTCGAAGGACGCCGAATATATAACTGCCCCTTTGTGCTCCTAGATCTCGGAGCGCAAGATGTGATAATTGGGAAGAAGCTTTTTAGCCGCTTCCGAATCCTACTCGACTCTGCAAAGAGCCTGCTAGTATGGCCAAAGGAGTACCCGCCTACTCCTAGCTGGAGCAAAGAGATCACCTTGCCCTACCACTCGCGTGAACTGTCTATACGTCACCCCGCCCATCAATCGGATGCGAACCGGCGGGACGATGCCATCGACCATGACGACAGACGACGTGAGGGCGGACGCTCGATACCAATGAAAGTGATAACGGCCCATCGTGACGCTATTATGATCACCCCACCGAGCCCGGTGCGAGACGAGGGAACGACCCACCCGCACCCCAAAACCCCAAGGACACGAGCCTCGCCCGTGGAAACCTATAAAGACGGACCCTTAGGGCAAGTGGAGGCGAAACCTCCAAGAAACGGACCATCCGCATATGAGAGAAAGAATCATGGGAGGAGCGGAGTCTTCTCTCTTTCCCGATGCCAGACCCTGGTACGCAGCTTCACGCCGGTCCAAATTTGCGAGATTGGCGCAAACGCTTTCCACTATGAGATGATGCGAAGCGACTCCGAGTTCTTTACGACAAGCATCTATGAGATCGACCAGATCATCCGAGAGAGGGAAGCGGCCGAGGACGAGGAAACGCTCCGCCTCATTTGGGACAAGCTTCCGCATATGCACCGCAACTATTCCGATGTCTTCTCGAAGTCGGAATCTGATCAGCTTCCCCCGCATCGCATATACGATCACAAGATACAACTAGAAGCCCCTTTACCAAATGCCTTTTCGCCACTATACCGACAAAGCACCGAAGAGCTTAAGGCGACTAAGCAATACCTATTAGAGAACCTCGAGAAGGGCTTTATAGTCAATAGCAATAGCCCGTTTGCCTCCCCTATACTGTTCGTGAAGAAGGCAGATGGCAAACTGAGATTTTGTATCAACTACCGGAAGTTGAACGGACTTACCCGTAACGACCCCTACCCTATCCCGCGTATCGACGAACTACTAGGACGGGTGTCGAAAGCAAAAATCTTCACGAAGCTAGACATTAGGCAAGCCTTCCATCGTATACGAATGGACCCCGACTCCGAGGAGTACACGACCTTCCGGACTCGGTATGGATCCTACAAATGCAAAGTGCTGCCGTTTGGCCTAACGAACGGCCCCGCAACCTATCAGAGGTATATGAATGACGTTCTTATGCAATACTTGGACGACTTCTGTACTGCCTACCTAGACGACATCCTAATCTACTCCGAGGACCCCGCGGAACACATGGACCACGTACATAAGGTCCTCCAACGGCTTCGAGAAGCAGGACTACAAACCGACATTAAGAAATGCGAGTTCAACGTAACCCGGACAAAGTATTTAGGCTATATCCTGACTACTACCGGTGTCGAAGCGGATCCCGAGAAGATCGAACCCCTCCGGAATTGGATCCGCAACAACTGTCACAGGCGTGAAGTCTTACCTTGGATTCTGCGGCTTCTACCGCCAATTTATCAGAAATTTCGGGAAAATAGCCAAGCCTCTCACCACTATCACCAGCCCCTCAGAACCGTTCCTGTGGACTGACGAATGTGAGAACGCTTTTGAAGAAATGCGCCGACAGCTTTTAGCCGTGCAGGCGCTCCACCACTTCAACCCCGAATTGCCTACGAAGCTGGAAACAGACTCTTCTGATGGAGTCGTAGCCGGTGTCCTTTCTCAGGAACACCCCGACAAGCGATGGTATCCTGTAAGCTTCTACAGTCACGTCCTATCTGGGCATGAGATCAATTGGGAGATCCATGACAAGGAACTGTTCGCCATCGTCAAAGCGTTCACAAAATGGAGGCCAGAATTAGCATCGGTACGCCACCGAATCGACGTCTATACAGATCACCGATCGCTGGAATACTTCATGTCGACGAAGGTTCTCACGGCGAAGCAGGTTCGGTGGATGGAGCTACTCTCCGACTTCAATTTCTCTATTGCGTATACTGCTGGCAAGAACAATCAGAAGGCAGATATACTGAGCCGAAGAGAGCAAGACCTGATTACGCAACAGAAGGTCAAACTCGACAGCCGTGCGAGGGTGCTGTTAGGCCCAGCCCGACTACACTCCCGAATCAGTGCCGAATTAGCACAAACGTACGTGGCCTCGATCAATGCGATGGACGCCCCGAACACCCAGGTCCCCTTTGACCTGATAGAAGCGCTCTGCGCGGATAATAGGAGGTCGTTTACCGACACTCGCGTGAAAGACCCCCTACCTAACGGGTTTATAATGAAGGACCAACTCTTGCTATACAAAGGTCGACTGTGCGTAAACCGGCACACCGAGTTATGTACGAAACTCATACGGGAAGCACACGATCAAGTATCAGTAGCCCACCCTAGTGGCAGGAAAACTTATCAGTTACTCGCCCCGAAGTATCATTGGGTCGGAATGGAAGCGGATTGCCTCCGATATGTGCGCAACTGCGTGATGTGCCGACTTTCTCACACTAGCGTGACGAAGCAGCAAGGCTTCTTACACCCCCTACCGGTACCCGAATACCCCATGCAACACCTAACGATGGACTTTAAGGAATTCCCAAAGGATAAACACGGATTCGACAGCATCCTTGTGTTCATGGACCGACTCGGTAAGGGTTCGTGTCCATACCGTGTCATAAGACCACCGATGCCCGCCAAATGGCGCAGCTATTCATCGAATGGATATATCGATTCGGACACACCCCAGAGTCGATCATTAGTGATCGCGGACCCCAATTCATATCAGCTTTCTGGCGAGAGTTCTGCCGAATCATAGGGGTCAAGATTAAGCTGTCGACAGCCTATCACAAGCAGACCGACGGGCAGACGGAAATCATGAATAGGTATATCGATCAGAGACTGAGGCCCTTCGTATCACATTACCAGGATAACTGGAGCGAGCTCATTCCCATCATGGATCGGGTGCAAATGACCCTTCCCCATGCCTCGATCGGAATGACCCCCTACCGACTCAAGTACGGAACTGATCCGCGCACCAGTTGGGACTGGGAAACCCCGAAAGCCACGACCCCTAGGGAAGTCATGAACCAGAAGGAAGCCAAAGCAGTAGCAAACCGCATGCACTCCGCATGGATTTACGCAAAGGAGAACATGGCCAAAGCACAAGAGGATATGTCTAAATACGCGAATCGACGCCGACGAGCCATTGACTGGGACGTAGGAGACAAGGTTTACCTATCGACCAAGAATCTGAAAAATCACCGCCCTAGCCGTAAGCTGGGGCAACAATGGGTCGGACCCTATACGGTACTGGAACAAATCGGACACGCCTTCCGACTAGACCTACCGAAGGGTTCCCAAATACACGATGTCTTCTCTCCAGACGTACTCATCAAGGCTCCGAATAACCCGCTGCCCGGTCAAGCAGCGCCTGAGCCAAGCAGCGAAGTCGTAGACGGCCTAGAGGAGTGGGAGGTCGAAAAGATCCTCGCCGTAAGGATCCGGCGAAAACAACTTCAATACCAGGTATCCTGGGTCGGATACGATCCGGACCCGGAATGGTACCCCGCCTCAAACTTTAAGAACTCCCCCTACAAAATCCGGGAGTTCCACGCGGAGTACCCAAACCTGCCAGGACCGCCGCAGGACCTACCCGGCTGGATCACGGAATGGGAGACAGGCAAACCAAGCTACGATCACGAGAGGCACGGCAAAGCAGAGGAAAACAGCGTCGTTGCTACCTACGACACTAAACTAAACACCCTCTAAGCCAGGGCACCCTCAGAGCCATAGCCCTTGCGGAAGCCACCCTTCCCAAACGTCTCACCGGCGTCGCAACAAGCGGCTACCACCATGAGAGACGAAGGGTCGAAGTGACCCCACGCGAAAGACCACGCCCGAGTTCCCTCCGACACAGGGCCTATCACCCAAGGTCGACGGTCACCCCCTCCTCCTCCACCTCCGCCCCCCTCTTCCTCTTCTTCCCCCCACCACCGCCCACCTTCGCCGCCACGGCGAGGACGTCGGGGATCCTCTCCACCAACTCCCCCACCGCATCCACCGCAGAAGCCACCCCATCAAGGGCAGCGATCTCCTTCTCCTGGTTCACCAGGATCAGGGCCGATTTCTGGCCCACGACGGCCACGGCCTGGCGGACCCGCTACGGTCGTCAGCGCGAGAACCAAAAACACACAAGGGAAACGGAAAACTTACCTCCAGACCGTCCTCGACGGCGGCGCGGAGGGCGCAACTCTCCATATAGGCCGAAAGCTCGGCCGGGGAGCGGAACTTCGGCATATTGGCGGTGGCCAATGTGACCACACGCCCAATCTCCGCCGCAGCGGCCTTGATGGCAGCGGGGACGGGAGGGGTTGCTGCCTCGGTAGCCAGGAGCTTCTGGTACTCCGGGCCAGCAAACCAGGAGATCTATCTCCAGAGGTCAGCGACGGGCAGACAGACAAACCACAAAACCGAAAACCAAACGAGAACCCACCGGAACACACGTTGCGTGTTGGGCCACGCAGCGCTCACACTTGGAGCTTTCCAAGCTCCACACACACGAGACGGCGGGATCTCCGTCCTTCTTGCGCCCTTTGGCGCGCACGCAGTGCATACACTGCTGGCGGAAAGCCACAGTGAGGGCGCCGGGAGGAGGGGGAACCGGCATCTTCAAATTGGAAATCTGCGATTTCCCGTCAGCCCAACCCAAGTTATCACCACCGCGCCAGCGCGGTTCCGTCACCTACCAAATCGTTCGTTGTGTTTTTGTATCTAAAAACAACCTGTTAGCATCCAGCTGTACCATCGGAAGGGCCACTTACCAGTCTCGGGAGGGGGGCTCAGCGTCGTTGTTGTGAAGAAAACAACAAGTTCTGGGCGAAGCTCGAATTCATATTCTGGCTTATAACAAAGCCATCCGAATCGGGTTAGCGCGAAATTTCCCCCTCGACACATACCGCGCGGACCCTATTCGATACCAATACGGACCCTCGCAACACTAATCGCCGCGCACACAACAAAGACGCGACTTTGCGCAAACGGATTCAGACCACTTCCAGTGCCTATACGGCCGCCCACCATCAGCCTTCTGGACAAACAAAGGGCATTCTAGTCTTGGCGCCCGCACCTCACCCACCAACCCAAACAAGGGCTCGTCGCGGCAGCTACTCGGCTTGCGTGCTTTGAGGACAAAGCACCTTCTCAAGGCGGGGGGTAGTGTAAGGATGCCTCCTTACTCGGGGTAGTTACGGCCGTCACGTGGCGCCATCGAGACTCGGGGCCGTTACGGGTCAGTCGCGACTGACAGCCTTAGGCACATAACGTAAGGAAGCCTTAGGCAAACAGGGAGCTAGCTGAGTCGGAGCGGTTTCGGGTATTTTAAGGGAACAGCCATACAGGGTGACACCTTCATCTTTTTTGTATCCTTCGTAGTAGACCTATAGGATAGAATACAGCATCACCTCCGACTCGCACTCCCATATGCACCTACGGAGAGCCGTATTCCCTGTGTCCTTACACAAATATAACATCATCGTTTTCGCCTTTCCCTCACACCTTACACACGTTTTACAGCCATTAGATGTGGGAATATTCCAGCCATATAAGCACTGGCACCGAGAGGCTGTGCTCTATGCCATACAGAATATGGACGTTACATACGACCTACCCTCATTTATGAGAGATCTCACCAAAATCCGGGAACAGACTTTTAAGGAGTCTACAATACTCTCAGCTTTCCGGAAAGCTGGAATCTGGCCAATAAGCTGTAATACAGCCCTCACGAAGCTACGTACATACTCGCAGCCTACTACCCAGCCTACAGAAGAGCCTACGCCTACCTTACCAATACGGCCTATTACCCCTAAACCCTCCACTTTTCAGGGGGTTGAAGAGTTGTTAAAGGCGGCTATATCTTCTGGATCAAGTGATAGTGAGTGCCAGTCGTCGAAACCTTTGGTGAGCACGAAGTTGCCCTTTCCTTCATACCGGTTATGGAGGAGCTTCCAAGCTTCGGCGGCGCTGACAGTCAGTCGAATCGTTTCGACTGTTTCTGATCCGCATGTGGCTTCGATTATCGAGTAAGCGTGGGCGTTACCGGTAAACCAGATGATATAGGCTGATTCCTTCTTTCCGATACCCAACTTCTCATATTCGTCAGCCGGCTCCGGCTTCACCCCTTTGCCGAGGCCAAGAGCGTATTCCAGTACACTTGCCTGGGCTAGTGTCTGTTCAATTCGTCTCTTCCATGAGAGGTAATTGGCACTGCCCTTCAGCTTCTCTTGACTCTTCAACGTGGCGATGAGTCTTTCCGTCGTCATTCTGGCCAGTGATGCTGCTGGTGGTGACGGGTATAGGCCTTTTCGAGAGACTGATTGGACGTTCTAGACACTCGATGTTTGATATCCTATTCTTGGTTATAAGAACGCTCTGCGTCCGGGCTCATAACCTGTTGAATCTGCACTTGGTAGGTTCGGTAGAATAGTAAATGATAATTCCGGTATCACGAGTAGGGCCCAATTGATCAGTAGTAAAATGCATATTCATTTAATCTAGCTACTCTAGCTACTCTATATACTGTAGAACTCTCCTCTGAGTCGCGGGTAAGCAAGTCCGTAGGCTTGACCGGAGTTTGCCCCCGAGTCTATTTCTCATGGTGCGGAGTGAGAACTCCGCCGCCTGATGCTTCGGGCATGGAGTGAGAATTCCACAATTCCCCTACTCTCACCCGGGATACCTAAACAGACTCCCCCCCCCCCCTGCCCGGGCGCGAGCAACGTCTCCCAGTGTAGGTAAGCTTCCCCCCGTTTATAGGGGCTACAGCACTGGAAAGACCGGGTTCCGGAGGCCTTTAGTAGCCCCTCACGTACGAGCTATACGAACTGGCTTACTGGGGCTGAAGAGGTTATGGCGGTAGGCCGGCTCCAAGAACTTGACCTACGGGTGGCTCGGCGGCAGGTGGAGGAGTCGAAGAAGCGGGCGAGCCGAAGCCGGGCCCGGCTTCAGAACGGAGGTGAGCTCGTAGCTGCCGAAGCCCACGAGCTTCGGGCCCGGAAAGCCGAGCTTCTAGCCCAGAAGCTCGCAGCCAAAGAAGCCCGGGAGGCTCGCCAGGCTAGAAACCAGGCCCAGAAGCAGCTCCACCAGGCTGGAATTAAGGCCCGGAAAGAAGAGCGTTTCCGGAAGAAGAGCCTGGCTACTCTTCAGGGATTAGGCCTCCCAATTCCTCCGGAATTAGAGGTCCCAATTCCTGATCCAGAAACCCTCGAAAGTGAGGGCGAATATGAGAATGGGAGTGGGAATGGGAGCGGGAATGGGAGTGATCATGGGAATGAGGAAATGATAATTTTTTAAAATGGTGAAATTTTGTACCTTTACATACAATTTACTATAGGGAGGTACTTAGGACTACAATTTTTCTCGTGCGCGCACTTCGCTTCCCCTCCATTTCTCGTGCGCGCGGATCGCTTCCTCCAACCTTGAGCGAAGCGAAAAGTTGGTTACGACGATTATGCGTTATGCGCGTTGCACTTTACGCGTGGGAGCTTGGACAATTACAAAATCGGGTCTCCCAACCGAACAAAGCGCCAACGTATGCGGGCGAACAGACACGATACGCCACTCCGACACAGAACTATCTATATTCAATGGCCCAACATCATGGAGCCTTCCTTCAAGAGACAGAGGATATCGGCGACGCAAGGACAGCAGCGACACAGCCCGGGTTATGATGGCCACAGCAGATCCTACGACCCCCCCACCTTCCGACAACCTCCCAATCCGATCAACAGCGCGATTTACAACCGCAATAATGACTCCACCAAGTTCTACGGGCCAGTTAACGCGCGAGAAGGCCCTGCCAACCCCGAAGATGCTGAGTTTGACGACGACGAAGAGTCCGGAGAGGAATTCTACGGAGAGGATGCTCCAGAAGCCGACCTACAAGCGACGAGGCAGGAGCTCGACAACAATCTGAAGTCGACATTCGAGGCTATCTTTGAGAAGTACGGTAAGGATTTTACTGGAGTCGGAGACGAAATCGATTTGCGAACGGGCGGGATCATAGTCGATAACGGGCATGTCGCGGAAATGCATGCCGAGACTGATGCTGGGGAAGCTAGGGGCAGGGGAATGCTGAGAGCATTCACTGAGGAGCCTAAACACGCACGGCTCCCGCAGGAGGATGTGGAGGGGTCCGACGCTACGGATGATGCGCATGAAGATACGGACACGGACTATCATGCCCGCGGAAGACAAATGCTGCGAGCTTTCACCCAAGAACCCGAGTTTGGACGAGATGAGGACGAGAACGAGTATGATGGGGATACGAGCAAGCTAAATCCCATTGATGAAGACGAGAGCGACGACGATGATATACTCTATCAAAGCAGTGGTGTTATCCCTGCAAAATCTATGGCGCCGCCTCCCAGGCCACCCATTTACAAACAATATCAACAGAAACCACAGTCTAGGTTTCACGCGCCGAAATCCGTTCCAAGACAACGACTATGGAGCACTGGAGCTGTCGACACATCGGAACCAGACATCCTCGGGCAGTTCGGCCAGGAGCTTGGCCCGCGAATCGTCGAATACGTATCGAGGCAAAAATCAGTCGATGAAGGAAGCATCGATCCGAAATGGCGTACCCCAGCCCTGCCAGCAGCAACGGCAGGAAAAAGGCCAATTCTCAAGTCCATGATTCTCCAACCTGATATCGAACGCTCACGCTCGCCAAATGGAGACTCGTTGTGGGCTCCCCAGAAGAAGCGACGGCGCAGATGGCGCAAGGCTCAGATGATGGATAAAGGACCCTCTGGGGAAAGCGAGACGGTTCTGCGAGATCGAACGGTTATTCCGAGGGAGAAGATTACGAGATCGAGTGTGTCTGCGCAAGCAGCTCTCCCGCCCAAGAGTGGCCAGGTTGATGCGCCACAGAACCCACCACTGCAGGATTTGGCGTCTGATAGTGCAGGCCAGAATGCCGATGATGACCCTTTCGGCGACAATGAGCCAGGTAATGATGGTAGCCCCGGAGATTCTGCAGCCGGAATTTCTTACAGTCCCAAGCTAGCAAGACGCAAGAACCAAAGGCCCGGAAAAAGTATAATGTGTGTCCCGAGGAACAAATACACGGACGCAGAAGACAAACAGATACTGGAATGGTGCAAGTATGTCTACCACGAGACAGAGTTTGGTTTCTGGGGCGAACCACATTGGGAGTTGCTGAGCCAAAAGGTAGGTTTCGTTCCTGAATTTGAGGTCAAATATCTAATCGTGTTTTCAGAACCCCAGGCATAGTGGCACGGCTTACAGGCAGCGTTATCGCAAGTTCTATGACCGAAATGGGGGCCAGCATCTATTTCTTGAACTAGGGATGGCTAGCCAAGACGCCCCTAAAGATTCGAGCGTGGAACCAGGCCCTCCAACAGACAGTGACGCAACCGTGCGCTCGCCCAGATTGAATCAAACTACTGAAGGTCCGCCTTTTGTTGAGCATACCTTTGCTAAAACTATGGCGGCGTTCCAGAAAGTATCCGATCCTCCGGAGATACAGCCTATACCTCCGGCGGAGGGGAGTCCTGTCGAGGGTACACCGAAAGAAGCCGCTGGAAAGCCCCCTCGTGGTGCAACAGCACGCTTTGAGCCATTCAAAGAACTTCTCCATAAGCTCTACATAGTAGAGGGACGCTCCCTAACCAAAGTGATGAGGATTATGGAACTCCAACATGAGTTCACAGAGAAGTAAGTAGCATCCAGCTCATGGAACCCCTCGAAGGCCCCACGCTAACCTTGCTTAGCCATTCGCAATATAGGAAACACTTCAGGGAGTGGGGTTTCAAAAAGACTGGGCATTGGTGGGAGCAACCAGAGTATGCGGGGATGACGTACTTCGAAGCATTTAACAAGTTTCGAAGAAAAGAGCGAAAGAAAAACAACCAATTGAGGAAGATGGCAATGAAAGGGGTTATATTACCAACGCCAGATCCCGACGAGATGGATCAGGTCGAGCCGCAGAACATAGAGCGGAGAGCGAGGCGAATGAAGCGTCTAGAGAAGACGGGTCAACTGCCAGCGCTTGATCACGATGAGACTGAACAAAGCCTGGCTGAGATAGGCGACGACCAAGGCAATGATGACAGTGGTCCTCTTTTTGAGCGAGGAGATGACGACCAAAGTTATAATGATCCCGGTCCCATTTTTGAGCGAGGAGATTCCTATGACTTCTCGAAACTTCTCCAGGGGGCATCGGATTATATCTCGCCAAACTCAGCAACAGCGATGGAGGGGGAAGACCAAATGGTTGAGCTTCCCAAGAATAGAAGCGAACACAACCACAGCCCGGAAATCATCTACGCCGGTCGAAGCCTCCGCTCGAGGGTAATCCCAAATTCTCAGTCCTCTCAGGATCTGATGTCACCAAGTACGAGCCAGGCGAAGCAGGATAAGGTTACAGCGCCAATGGAGGCGTTGAGCAGGGATGCTCTTGATCCCTCCTATATGTTCTCTGACGAAGAGGACGAAGCTGCGCCGGTAGCGCCACAGACTGGCACGTCGGATCCCCAAACCTCTTCTGCGACAACCGAGTCCCCCAAACCTCAACCTCTGAGTGACTCGGCACCTTTGATAACACCACCAGCACAAGAGCCGGATGTCCCATCTCAAGACACCCCCGCAAAGACGTCACCTGCCAAACAGCGCGATGCTGTCACGACTTCTGTGGAAATTAAGGACGAGCCAGAGACTGTTGGTGGCGGGTTAGGTGATATCTACTCTCTCCCACGCAGCCCACCACGCCTTCCCACAGCGCCACACCCAGCTACATCCGGCAGCGGCCTTCGCGTCATAATCACACAACCCGACAGCTCCTCACCTCTGACTTCTCCAGCTCGCACCCACACCCCACCAAACACCCTCCCTACCTCCTCCGCCTCCAAAGCTACTCCGAAACGCAGAACAGTGCGTGAATCAACGCTGCGACGCAGTCAGGCGTCTCTACTAAGATTATCAGCTACACCGACGCCTCGACGGAATCCGCTGGAGAGATCGACGAGTAGACCCCGCTTTGTGTCTCGGTCGGGGAAGGGATCGGTGCGCTCGCGCGCGTCTATGACGCCGCTTTCAATGCTGGCTGTGCGGTCGCCTTTGCGACATGACGACGAGGAGAACGAAGATGAAGATGGGGGTCAGGATGTTATCCAACCTCTGTCCCGGCGCAGTAGGGCCGTTGGGGGTGGGATGTCATATCTTTCGACTCCAAAGGGTGATGGCGCGGGTGCGTCCGTAACGGGGACACCGTCCCGGCGAGGTGGAATAAAACATGGTAATGAAATGAAAAGTGAGGATGGGAAGATGATCCAGACGCCCGGTGGTGCGTGGAGGAGGTGCGGAGAGAGCGGGTATAAATGTGGGAGGGGGTTTTGCTTTCGGTGCTCTGTTGGTGGGGAGGGGGAGGTTGGTATGTGAGCAGCAGGTTCTGGCTAGGAGCAGGTGGGAATTTTGTCGTAGTACCCCCCTGCCGCATAGGATAGGGAGGTTGCTAGCTTATGTCCACAATCACGCTCTAGAGCGGTTGTCTTCAGGGTTTTACTCAAAAAAATAGTAAAAATAATTATTCTAACGCTCCAAATTCAGATTTTGGGCGGCATGAGATCATCAGAGGATTGTAAATGGCCATTCAAATAATTAACAATAATTGATACGCTACATATCAACATAAAACTACAATGGGTAATTATGTCCCCCAAGCTCATGAACAGGACGGTGATGACCCCCTGTCATCCCATGCGGCGGATCCGGGTTCGCGGACATCTCATTCTCGGCCTTGTATATATACTGCATCTGTTCTTGGCTTTGTACCTGGCCTTGTCCCTGGCCATAATCCGGACCTTGGTATGTATTATTAACCGGCCCATATGCAACGCCAGCGCCGCCGACGTCAGTGGGCTTCATCAGTTTCTTGCGCAGGCGTCGCTCGTTTACGAAAAGCCCTAAAAACGCCAGGGCGAGGACGCCGAGTGGGACTCCCACGCCGGCTCCCACTGCTTTGACGGAGTTGGCGTAGTGGATTTTCTCGGCTTTCGTGGCACCCGAGCACTGGGTCTTATCTGAGATGGTCTTGTCTGAGCAGACCACGTCGGTGGGGGTCGTCGCTCCTGGGTTGGATGATGTAGGGTTCGTTGATCCTGTGTCAGTTGCCGAGGGGGTCGAGGTTGGCAAGGATGACGTAGGCGACGTGGTCTGCGAAGATGACTCCGTAGTTGTCGAGGATTTGGGTAAGATTTTCACGGCCACACCGGGGCTGGCTTTGAAGTCTGCGCTACACGTTTTCAGCGTAGGGCTGCCGCACCAGAACATTTTGGGGTTGTCGGCTCCAACCCCATCGTTGCACGGGTAGATGTTGGCCCAGTAGGGCAGGACTATCGAGGCGCGCCGGTCAGCGTTGTTCCAGGGAAGTTCGCAAGATGCGCCTGCTTACATTCTTTGCAAAATGTCAGGCAGTCCGGTGTGTCCCAGCTGTCGACGCAGGCGCCGCGGTACATCAATCCAGGCGCGCCATAGCACAATCCAGATGCGAGGCAGGCTTCACCGGAGTGGCAACATGTGCCTGATGTTGCTCCTGATATGCATGGGACATAACCTGTCGCCGTTGTGCCATCCTTCCAGACACATGTCTGTGAATGGCCAATGGGGGGTAGGTGAGGATCACCGAGAGCAGGAGCGCTCTATTGCACAGCATATTGACTGATTGCTCTTTGGCGACGGCCACAGTCGTCCATGAAGAACATAGTTATCAACCTCGAAGGGTCCCGTGTAGTAGAAATAGGGGAGCACAGCGAAACCGCCCAGCCTTTCGGCTTGGGGAGGTACCGGGGGATTGAAATTGTTCCCTTAGCTGGAGGATCTCCTTGGGAGGATCTGGATTTTGCTGTTAGCTCTGCATTTCTATTGGCTCATTTGTGGGATTTGGACGTGACAGTGACACATAGTGTCCTTCCGGCTGTGCTGTCAAAAATACTGTAGAGGACAACCCTGTTAGCGTTGGGCCGGTTCGCTGTCGTAAAGAAGCGCGTGTACTAGAAAAGCTTCGGCGCTTAAACACGCGGCAGGTACCATGACATACAGTAACGCGTCAACTTGACTACAGACAGCATGCCATAACCAACACAAGCCTAATACTCTAATCCTAAGGATAAAATTGCTCTTGCTATTCAAGCATTTAAAAAATATTCATCGCTGTTGCTCGTATGACAAACTCTGGTATCGTATGACTGATATGGCTATCCATAAGAAGGACTTTTAATGGTTTATTAGGCCTAGCACCAGAATGTTTAATGGAATGCTCTAAATAAAGCATGCTAGTTCGCCATTTGTATATCCAGAATCAGAGAGCAATATGCATAGTTGAGAGTGGGAAACGTACATATTTTGGGTGTAAATCTCTTGGTGCGAACACCAACGACTAGGTGTCTGTAATTGGGTGGGGAAGGATAAGGCTCCGGCAGTGACGCGCCAAGACCTCTCAGACACTTATCCAATAAATTCCTCAAGGTTACGACATCCGTCCTCACCTTCAACCACCTCCACCTTCTACCTTGTAACTAAGGTATTATGAAGCTGCCAACAAACTCAACCATCTCCATCTCACGATGAATTGTCAAAAATGCCGGGCCCCACTGAAGCTCGACAGCTCGCTGGAGAGCCTCAACCCCGCCGCCTTCAATCTCCTCGTCGGTGCGTCCCTCCCCCATCCCCCATCCCCCACCTCTACAAACACCACTAACCCCCCCAGACTCAACCCATGAAACCCCCAAAGCCCCCCCACCATCTAGACCCGCCTACCCCCCCGAGCGCAAAGCCCTCTACGACGCCGCCTCCCGCTCCGACGCCCCCGCGTCATACAAACGCACCACTCCTACCAACCCGGGAATGTCCTTCGTTCTCCTCTCCTCCTCCGAAGCCGCGCCCCCCGCTCTCTCCCTTCCATCCACCAAACGCTCCTCCTCACCCACCTCTCCAACCACGCCCCCCACAAGCACCTCCCACGAAACCGAGCGCGCAAACCGGCTCTTCGCCCTCCTCTCCGCCCGCTCAGACATCGACCACCCCATCTGCACCGAATGCACCTCCCTCCTCCTTAGCTCCCTCTCCGCGCGCCTCTCCGCCTCCCTCCGCGAGCGCGACGCCTACACCGCATTCCTCACGCACCTCCACCAAACAGCACCCACGCCCTCCTCTCTCGCCGCAGCCCAAACATCCCTCTCCTCCGCCCGCGACGCCGAAGAAGCAGCTACCTCCTCCCTCCTCTCGCTGGAGCGCACACAAAGTGTCCTAGCAACCGAACTCGCCTCGCTCTCCGCCTCCGCCGCGAGTCTAGACGCCGCAGAGGCGGGGTTCTGGCACTCGCATAATACATTCTCTACCAACCTCGCCGCGGCACAGGGAATGCACGCCTCGCTCTCCGCGGCCGCGACCCACGACGCGCGCCTCCTTAATCTTCTGCAGCGCACAAACGTTCATAACGACTCCTTCCCCATCTCGCACGACGGGACGTTCGGAACGATCGCGGGGTTAAGACTTGGTCGCCTCGCGGCACACCCGGTGGATTGGCCGGAGATCAACGCGGCGTGGGGACATACCCTGCTCCTTCTTGCGACGGTGGCGAAGGCGCTGGATGTCAAGGTCCAGGGGTATGAGATGCAGCCTCTCGGGTCGACATCGCGGATTGTGGCGATGAGAGGTGGGAGGAAGGTGGTGCTGGAGCTGTATACGAGTGGTGATTTGCCGCTGGGGTTAACGTTTTTGCATCGACGGTTTGATGCGGCGATGGTGGCGTTTTTGGCGTGTCTGAAGCAGGTGGGGGAGGGGGTGCCGGGGAGGGCAATGCCGTATAAGATTGAGGGGGATAAGATTGGGGGGGAGTGTATTAGGTTGGGGGTTGCGCAGGATGATGGGTGGAGTAGTGCGTGCAAGTACGTGCTTACTTGTTGTAAGTTTTTGTTGGCGCATGTTAGTAATGCTGGGTTGGGGAGGAGGTAGGAAGGCTGTTGGGGGAGTAGTTATGATTCAGGGTTGGCGTTGGGGGGCTTATCCTGTATCGTCTATCACGCATAATCAGGAGTCAACGATCAACGATAGAAACCATTTATTTATTATTCACACTTGGTTCCCGGGCCATCCCTTTCTTTCCCTGTACAACTTCCCCAGACGCACCCCCTAAAGCTCCCCACACATCCCAACCCCAACGTCCAAATCCGGCACCCCCTCCCCCCGTCTCCCCGTCCCCGTCCTCCCCAACATCCTCAACCCCTCCATCCCCCCTCCCCAAACACCCTCCCAATCGCCTCCCCCCTCGCCCCTCCAAGCGAAATCACATACGCATTCCCTCCCTCGGCCCCCCTCCCCCCCGGATTCGCCCACGCAAGTTCCCCCTCCTCCAACACCCTCCCACTTCCCGCCCCGGCAAATTGTTGGGGGGCGTGAGCAGGCGCCGCGGCGTCAGAACCGCCGTAGATCCCGACAGCGGGGATGATACGCGTGATTCGGCTGTTTTTGTAGCCGGGGGGGCGGAGACGCATTGCAAGTGGAAGGGGGGGGAGGAGGGGGTGGGGTAGAGTTCGAGGGGGAGGCGGGTTAGGGGTTGCCCGCCTATTGTTATGTCGAGGAAGACGCTGGGGGAGGGGTTAGTTGGTTGAAAGAGGGGGTGAGGGAGGTGTGAAGGGGGGAGGAGGGGAGGGGAAATAGGGGACGTACAGTGGGTTGCCCGAGGGTGGGAGGATGGTGGGCATTTTGGTGGAGTTTGGAGGGTGTATCGTGTGTATCGTGCGTGGGTGGTGGTTTGATAGTAACACAAGTCTCGTCTGTGACTCCACAAAAAATACCCCTTATCCTTTCCCTACTTCTTTCCCGTGATGTTCTTGTATTTTCTTTTCCCCGTCTTCTCCCCGTCTTTTCCCCGTCTTTCCCCCGTCTTTTCCCTGCCCCTTCCCAGCCTTCTTTTCTTGTCTCGTGACAATGACGCCCAAATACAGGGTACACAATGCGTTAAGAGGCGCTTTTTTTTTGTCTGGGCGATGCTGCGCTGTCACTCTTTCTTTCGGCTTGGGATCGGGTCGTGCGTGGCGCCAGTGAGGTGTTTGCGTTTGGGTTTACTGGGCCTGGCTGGGTCGGAGAATGTTGGCTGGACTGGTGGCGTGCGTGTTAAGATCAGCTGCCTGTCGTTGTTGTCCAGCAGCCCCTCGCCGCATTTTTGTGTACAAGGCAATAAGTCACGTGCCTTTTATCACGTGAAATTGTTACATCCGTCGTCGCGCTCGAGGTGATGCACGGGTATCGTCGGTGCGGGGAAGGGGTACAGAATTATATATTTATACATCCGTGAACACCGGACCACGAACGGGAGAGTACAGATGTGGAGAGTTTCGGTATTTCAATTTATTTCATTTTCCGTGTAACGAGAGATCGGATATTTCGGATATAGATAAAAAGAGAGGGGAGAGGGGATATTGAAAGGTGCATTCACGCACGAAGACTATATTATATATACGAATCGTATAATACGATGACGGTAGAGACACCCCTGAAGCATGTCAGGCACAGCTATAGAGATGGAGAGGAGGCTACGGCGCTGAGTACTGTTGATATATGGCTCCCGGAGACAAATCCAGATGGAAGCAGTCCTGAGGGAATTTGGGTGGTGTATGTCCCCCCCCCCTCCCCCCCTTTTCTCCCCAAATTCCAATCCAAAAAACGAACAGTTTCATCCACGGCGGCGCCTGGCGCGACCCCCTCATAGACTCCACCAGCTTCCAACCCACCCTCTCCATCCTCGCCCAAACACCCCCGCAAGCGCAACCGCCAATCGCAGGCTACGCATCAATCAACTACCGGCTCTCACCTTACCCCTCCCATCCCACCTCACCCAGCACCGGCGGGGACGCCAGCAGAGCTGCACAGCACCCCGAGCACTTGGACGACGTGACGACGGCGTTGTTGTTCCTCGATGAGAAGTATGGGATTGGAGGGAGGTATCTTCTGGCGGGACATAGTTGTGGCGCTACCCTCGCTTTCCAGGTCCCGGAGACGGCGGAGGGGGGGGGGAGGCTGCCGGTGCCGTTGGGGATGCTGGGGTCGGAGGGGATTTACGACATCCCCTCCCTAATCTCGCGGAACGAACATCCCATTTACCGCGAATTCGTCGTATCAGCATTCGGTGAGAGGGAGGAGACATGGAGCGCCGCCTCGCCGTCCATGGCTCCAGGGTCGAAGCTCTGGGAGAAGACGGGGGTGCTGATAATGTCGCACTCGGAGGAGGATGAGTATGTTGAGAAAGCGCAGTCCGTAGACATGCTGGAGAGGATCAAGGAGGTGAAGAAGGACGGACAGGCGGTCTATGTTGAGGCGGAGGGGAAGCATGATGAGATGCATGAGAAAGGGGGGGAGATGGCTAGGATTATTGGGACGGGGTTGGAGATGGTTTGGGTGGTGGGGTGGGGGGCATAGTATCCCCGCGCCGCCCGGTGTGCATATATGCCTCACTCACGCGGTTGGTGCGGGAATTGCGCGTTTTTGTCGGATGGGAATCACCATCTAGTTCTGTCATGTCATGTTGTCCTGTCCTGTCCTGTCGTGTCATGTGCTGTCCTGTCCTTCCCGTCCTGTCCCGTCCTGTCCTGTCCTGTCCTGTCCTGTCCTGTCCTGTCCTGTCCTGTCCTGTCCTGTCCTGTCCTGTCCTGTCCTGTCCTGGCATCACATCACATCCTATCTGGACTCGCCCTCCCAAAACAGCTCTTCTCCGCGGACCCCCCAAAGATCGACACTAACGGCCATGGCGATTCTCAGGATGGGACGGGATGTCGTATGCACCGCTGATGTATGGTGATATAAGAGGTGGAGAGGTCTAGCCAGGCAGCTGGACTATGGTGGCGATCTACAGGACAAGCGTCATCCATGCAAGGAAACACTGGCAAACCAAACTAACCCACTACTGTATCTTTCTCCACGGATCAACAAGGACGTCTACTCAAGGACGTCTTTCCACGGATCAACAAGGACGTCTACTCCGTAGGACAATCTTTCCACGGATCAACAAGGACGTCTACTCCGTAGGACAATCTTTCCACGGATCAACGGCGGGAGTAGAGTAGAGTAGAGTAGGACGGATGCGCGGGGATACAAGTCTAAGTCTAAGTTACGTGGTATTTGGAGATGGTATAGGGATTGTCCCACCTGTGAATGTGAAGGGTGATATGTGTAAAGGCTGATATGTATCCCTTACAGCTATCCGACAGGCGATGAGGCCATTATTGTCACGATCCTCTCACATACACCGTGGCACAGCTGCTACTATAATTGCTTCATCAGATATAAACACATCCACGCATAAACACATCCTTCTCCCTTCTTCCCTCCTCTCCACCCTGGCCCCCATATAGAGTAAGAAAACTCTATATCCTTTACTTCCTTCTACTCTCTACAAGATTCACAAAATACGAACCCCAACTAGCCTTGCCTGCCACAAGTACCAGAAAACCGCGGCCACCCGCCACCCCCCCAAGCCAAAAACTCAAACCAAAACCACCCTCGCCATCGCCATCGCCAGCCCACCCACTGCCAAGCCCCACTCCCATCCACAATCCCCACTGAAACTGCTTCAACTGAAACCTCTCTCCTACAACAATTTTCACCTCCAGACCACCGACAACACCCGTCTTCATCGCTCGTACGCCCTACCACCACCGCGACGACGACGACAATATATCAATTCACAATCGCATCACCAACAAGATACCCCGTCGACGACCTACACCAGCAAAGCCTGATCTGCGCCTTCGCTTCAATCCACTTCAACCAGCCTACCCGCCACAACACATCACCCATCACAGCCTAACCGACGACCACCACCACCACAACCACCACCACAACCACCACCACAACCACCACCATAACCACAACCACAAACAACACTGCCCGCCCCTCCCGTCCCCGCGTCTGGCACATGCGTCGCACCGCGCCCGACCGCCGCGACAATGGCCGTTGATGCCTCCCACCTGCACGCCGTCCTGCGCGACACAGTCGGTCTCCTTGTCCGCGCCGCTGTCCCGCCCACAGCCGCTGACGGCGGCGCTGCCACCTCTACCACCTCCGCCGCTGCAGATACAGCAACCACGCCGCCGTCGCAGGATAAGGGGGGTAGCTCGCAGTCGCCGCTGCTGTTCTTTGTGGCTCTCGGCTTCGGCGTTGTGTTCACGAATCTCTGGTACGCTTCTTTGTCCATATTAGCCGCTTGACGGCGTGGAACGGTGTGTGATTGCTAACGCACTACAGGATCATTGTAGGAGTGAAATACTGCTTCCGCTATAACGCACGCAACCGTGCCCTCGCGCGCGGCGAAATCATCGACCCCATCTCCATGGAGCGGGTCCACCCTCGCCCGCACCGCCGTCGCCGCGAGAAGAAACTCATGACCGTAGACGAGGTCAATGAGCGCTTCCCACGGATGAAGTACTCGGATTGGGCAGCTGCACGTGCGCACGAGGGACTCCCAACAGCTGGGGGTGTCTCAGCACCAGCCGGGGGTAGACCAGCCACATTACGGGATGAAGAGGGCGTCCAACCCACCTCCCCAACGTCGACGAAACACTTCGACACCGCACCGGAGGTAGGAGAAGTGCCCTCAACACCCACCACCACCACCATACCCCCTTCCGCACCCGCACCCGCACCCCGTCTCAGCACCGACACAACCGAGAAACCCACCACCGCCGACACAACCGCCGACACCACCACCCACCTCGTCGCCGACTCGGCCCACCTCGCAGCCCTCACCTCCACCGCCACAAACGCAACGCACTACGACCCCAAACACCCCTCTGACGACTCCGACGACGAGGACCTACACGTCCTCCCCCCCGCCCTTCTCGACCACCCCGGGGATAGCTGCGCGATCTGCATCGACGTCCTCGAACCAACCGACGACGTCCGCGGTCTCACATGCGGTCATGCCTTCCACGCCTCGTGTCTCGACCCCTGGTTAACCAGCCGCCGCGCCTGCTGCCCGCTGTGTAAGGCGGATTACTATATCCCCAAACCGCGTACCGAGGGCGAAGAAGCCGAGACTCGCGAACGCGAACGCGAACACAGACGCCGCGAGCGCGCTGAGGGGAGGGGGGTTAATCTCCCACACCAGCCTGGGAGCGCTTGGGTGGATGGACGGGTACGGGGACGATTCTTCCTTCCAGCACGGTTTGGGGATTCGGGAGGGAGAGGGTGGCCGGGGTCTAGGCCGGGGGGGGAGGGAGAGAGTGCGTTGGCGGCGGTGGGGGGACGGAGTGGGGGGAGGACGGGAAGGTTTTTCCCGTGGCATAGGAGTGCGGGGGCGAGTGGGACGACGCCGGCGCAGTTGGAGGCGCAGATTAGGAGGTAAGAGATGTGAGCCTCCCACCCATTTGTCGCGTTTAAACTGGATGGCCGGCTATCGAGGTTGAGCGGCTGAGGGGGACTCGAGGCGGATTGTGGGGTTACAGTCACTGTGGCGGGGAGAAGCGGTGGTAGTCTCTATGGCTGGGCGGGGTGATTTCATGCTCATCCGCTCGATACTCCAACCATTCCACACACACCACCAACAGTCACCACTCCCACCTCGCCCACCACACATCACCACACCTTTCCTTCCATCACACACCCACCACCCATACACTCACACCTTAATTCAACTTTCCACTCGCAACTCCAAACACTATCAAATTGGGAGGCACAGGTACATAATACCCGGCTCAAAAGCGGAGCCGGTTCAGTTTGGGTTGGGGATTATTCATCCGGGGGGGGGATTAGAAACGGCGTTTTCTAGGCGTTTCGTTTGGGATTTTTCTTTTGTCTTCTGGGAAGGCGGGTGGTTGGTTGGTTATATGGACGGAAATGGGGAGCTGGGGGCTGGTGGAATCGGTCGAGATGATCTGGGATGTGGATCGGAGGCTATAACGTAGGTCATGGCGTAAGTCGTCTAATGGCGTAAATCGCGTAGTTCACCCCACCACCACCACTCAGGCCGGGAAACAATGAATTTATTAGCTTAGTACTCGACTATAATGTAGTCTAATTCCTCCTCTAGGTCATCTCCGACATTTCCCTCTTCAATTGGTTCAGTTAGAGCACGGTTTGCGCCCGTAGCTCTAACTTTTGTTACTTTCTGTCGGGTGGCTTCCTCGGCCTCTAGAACTTGCGCACGTAATTCCTCTGTAGAATTGTGGTACTGACCCTTTAAAATTGCGCGTTTACTCTTGTTCTGTGTCCTCCGTGTTTGAATTATCGATCGTAGATTCTCAGCTTCACGCTGTTGTAGGAAATTGCGTGTGTTGAGTCGCTCCGTGGCATCAGCCAGGTTGCGTATATATTTTGTTGTTGGCATGTCTAAGGCTGTACGAAGGTCTAACGCTGTCAGTATTCGCCTTTCGCAATGTAGCGAAATCAGGTGGGCTACTGTTCTGAAAGACGGTATCAAAAATATCATGTTGTGTTGGTGCTTTTGGTTGGTTAACTGCTGTCGTCACATCAGATGTCGGAACCGTAACCTCTCGTATTATACGCTGCGGTTGCAGTGGCTGTAATCCTACGCCTCTCCAAGCTGAAGTAATATTATGAACCGAAAAAGCTTCTACTCTTGCTTTTATGTATGCGCTTAACCACTCCGCTTTCTGTATGCACGTAAGCTGCGCTTCATTAAGTAGGGAGAGTGCAGTTGTGAGGCGTTTTTTCAATGGTCCAAAGACCGCAACATCAAGCGGCTGCAACACATGCGAAGTGTGCAGTAATGCGTGCCTTGTCTTTCTTCAATCCGGGCCTTCCTTGTGATGAGACTCCCCTTGACGGTGTCATCCTCCAGTAAAGCCCTGTTTCATCCATGTTATATATATCTTCCTCTTTGAAATCTCCTGCTAGCGTTTGAATTGCCTTCATCTTGTCGAATCGCGATTTGTATGAGGAATTAATTTGAGCCAAAGAAAAGTACCGAGTTACTCGTAGTAGTCTCCTGGACCCGAGCTCGCTTATTCGACACCAATTTCGCCAACGGACGACGCTTCGGAGCGAGCAAGGCCCGCTCGAAGTTAATTATCATCACTTTATTAGTCTCGGGATTAAGCAACATATTCCGATGGACCACGCCTTCCCGATGCATTAGATCAGTAGGGTGACGCCAAGGGTATGTCATTTTTGGTTGATGAAAGGCAGATTAAGGACGGGCAGGTTGAAGAAGGGCAGGTTGAGGACGGGCAGGTTGAGTGAGCTTGAGAAAGCCGCGCGTGCAGCACGCTCGTTCACAGCTTGTACAAAACGTACGATTCGACAGCTACATTCCACGACACTTGAATAAAGCAGAAGTCTGAAAACTAGAAGATAAATGATGAGGCGAGTAATATTAGAAGTAAAGCTGAACTTTCTGTACTCTCCCCTCTCTCTTCATCTGAAGCCGACTCGTACGATCTCTTGCGAGCGGTATGTATATATGCCAGGTCAAAATCGATGGCCATTACCCCCTTAACTTCCTCGTTCCAGACAAGATTTGTATCTCGCACGTCGCCGTTACAAATACCGGCAGAATTCAGCTTTCCAACCGTCCTATCAACCTCATCATCTATATCTATGCCATCTGGTATGTAGGCTTCGAGGGTCGTTCCTGCCCATGACATCAGCATCATATGCTTAATAAATGCCAGGGACTGAAGCGGGTACGAGACGACAAGGTCAATATTACCAAGGTGGACAGGTATAAAGACGCCCTGTAGATTCTTGCAATGGGAATAGATACAGGCTTCTCTTACGAGCGCGTCTGCATACACAGCCTGAACTCCCTTCGCAACCAAGGTGTACCCATACTCCGGTATGGTGATCTTGAATAAAACACCCGTGTGGCTGAACATACCATACTTGTCCAGACATTCACAGCCGCAATCGAGATTCTCAGCGATCTGGGACCGGAAGAGAGAGCATAGTTGAATATTAGAGATGGGGTGGTACAACCCACACCCTCGTCGAACATGGAGAGGTGTGTTGGGGCAATTTGGGTCGAGAGTGCCATTGCGGCTGAGCCCGAGCAGACAGGCCTGGGTACAATAGGGTAGAGCACGCAGGGAGGTGCGAGTGCTTTGTTGTTGGCTGCTAGTCTGTGACCCGCCGTCCTTGGATGCGGAGTGCGGCCCGTTGCCCTTGGGCGGCGACCATTCTCTGGTAGGGATATTGCTAACATTCATAGTCGGAGTGACAGCTTGGGGGCTCTCTGGCGAGGGTTGGTCGGTCCAAGAGTGTGATAATCAGTATGAGATGCTTGCAGAGGTAGCATTCCGAGACGGACTTCCTTTTCAACTACGCCCGATAGCTAAAGGTTTGGTCCAGACGACCCGACATATCATACTCTCATGCGCCACCGGCAGCCACTATAGCTCCTCGGGAATTAACAAAGCTGTTTGTTCTTCATTTGGAGAAGATAAGCTCTTACTTGGCAATGCAACAAGTACTAAAATCGCAATTACGGCTACAACCACAGATAAATCCTCTACTGTGATCTTTTCAAATTATAACGGTCCTCAAAGACCCGTGGGCTGCGGTGCGTGGAATATTCCCTCTTATACCTCTAGGATGCTGATTGAAAAAGGCTATATGACCCCGAGCGGGGAAGTCGGACGAGAGATGAAAGTCTGGGAGGCGTAGGTCACCCATTCCATTACCAACTACACCTCTTACTGAACCTCACTAGTGCCCGAGCGACTTCAGCCGCTTCTCCGTGAGTCTAATCTCAAGTGAAAAGCGCACCAGCTAATGCGTTTGATAGATACTTTAAGCCATATAAGGGCTACCATGATGGTGGCCTTGGGGGTCATAACAATCCAGTCAACCTCGCTCTCTGGGAACAAGATCTGTTATGGGATCGCAAAGGGAAGCAGCCAGATTTCGTGCTCTCCCTTGGGACTGGTTCGACTATCGAAAGTATTGATGGCAGCGACACGCAAGGCAATAAAAATGCCTCATGGATCTCTCAGTTGTTCTTACCACGCCTGGTAAGGTCATTCATGAAGCTGTTGGACGGCCAGAAGACTTGGTTAGAGCTCTTTAATAGTGTTCCTCAAGAACACCGGTCTCGCTATCACCGCTTCACACTCGGGTTTCACGGCCCAGAGCCAAAGCTGGACGACGTTAGCTGCATGCAAGGCTTGAGGGAGAGAGTAGATACTGACGCTCCGCTACTGAGGACTGAAATTCGTCGCTGCACTGATAACATGCTGGCATCACTCTTCTACCTCGAGCTTGATTGCCTGCCGTTGTCTTCCGGATACAACTTTCTGTGTAAAGCTCGAATATTGTGCCGGTGGGACCCGGGTTCTAGGGGGGTGCACGCTTTGCTATCAATGCACGGTCTATTATTTGAACAGGGGGGAAGATCACAGTGACCGTCGCTAAGAAATCAGACGTTGGCAGGCTTTGGATGCGTACATCACCATAGACTTCTCTGAGCACTGTATATCTGCAAAGTCAACTTACCACGCGATATACCAGATATCAAGCACAGTCACTGAGTTGCACTCTGACACTGTTGAAGAACCCTGCAAATTTCTTATGTTGTAAGCATGTCAGAAGAATTCTATAGTCATACAGAGTTCAACCACCGAATATCCGTACAACGCACCCCATAAACTCCCCGTCCGTGGAAATAATGCATTCCTCAATTCCATATATACAATCTCCACCCTCCCAACTCCAATAATCCAACAAACATCTATTCCCTCCTCAACGCAGCCTTCTCCCCCCCCCATCATCCTCACTATCACTCTCGCTATCCCCCCCAATAACATGATGTTCCGCCTCCAACCCCCCCTGCCCCTCCCCCCCGCCACAACATCACAATACTCCCCCCCCTCCTCCTCCACATCGCTCAACCCCTCCTCATCACTCCCGGCAGCAAACGCATCATACAGCTCCCCCGCCCTCCTCTTCGGCCTCCCCCCCGTCAACCCCTCCGTCTCCTCATCATCGCGTATGAGGTCGAATTCATAGTTATCCCTCGCGCTGTTGCGGAGTCGCTTGCGACGCGCGAGGTAGAAGTAGATCGCTAGCCCGATGCAGAAGCCTACGATGAGGACCGTGGCGGCGTAGATCCAGATCGTCGTCTTTGGGCCGAAGCCGAAACTCGGCAGCCACCCAGGGAGCCACGAGGACGGGGCGGCGGTGGAGGAGGCGGCGAGGTCGCCGCTGGGGGCGGTGGGGGAGGGGGAGGGGGAGAGGGTTGAGGTGGGTTTTGGGGGACGGGGCGGTTGGGTTGGTCTGTTGTTAGGGGGGATGTGGTGGATGTTGGGATGGGGTTTAGGGAGGTGGTGGAGACGGTGCCGGAGATGGTGGAGGAGGGCTTGTCAAAGTTGTGGTCGTCGTCGTCGGCGGTGGGGAGGGGGAGGAGGGTTGCTTTGGAGGGGTCGATGGCTTCGCCCCAGAGCTTGATGTGGAAGTCTGTGAAGTTGCCCGAGAACTCGTTGACGGTTGTGTCGCGTAGGATAACTTTCCAGGTGCCGATGCCGGATTCGCCCCTGGGGTTGTGTTAGTGGAGGTGTGGTGGGGCATAAGGGGTGGGTACGTACCAGTGCACGACGCTCATGAATGTCCAGTCCGCATAGCCATTTGGGGAGTTGTCGTTCTTGCGGGTTGCGCTGAGGTGGCTGACTAGGTTGTCTGGGCTGATTAGGTCGAGGCTGAGGTCTCCACGTCTGCTGTGCTCAACATTCATCGTTACGGTCACATGCTCTAGACGCTCAAGGTTGGCTTCTTTGAGCATAGCGGCGGTGACCTCGTACGTGACGGCGAGGCCTTGGTCGCCTTGCGGGATTGGCTTGTTGACCTTGATCCAAGGGGAGTAGAGCCATGCTTGGGGCTTGAGTGACTTGAAGGTCTTTGCGGCTTCGACGATGGCCCACGAGTCGATCTTGCCATATCCGAATGTGTGGCTGAACTTCTTGCCGATGGTCGTGGTTTGCCAGTCGTCTGCGCTATCAATAGTGACGGCAGTCTGCATTGCAAGGGACTGCATATCTCTCCAAGTCAGATCAGGCCGGACCGACAATACCAGTGCGAAGATGCCGGCAGCTAAAGGCGCAGCCGCAGAGGTTCCTCCATGAGTTGTGGCGCAGTTGTTCGCGCCAACGTCGGTGGTGACAATCTGGTCGCCACCACCGCTGCTGTAGGTAACGACAAGCTGCGCTGAGCACTTTTCGGAATAGTAGGGATGATCGCCTCTGCGGTCAACTGCGCCAACAGTGATGCTGTAGATACTGTTTGTGTAGCCGTCGAAGTTGCAGTTGTCCTCTGACGCAGCGCCGTTTCCAGACGCGAAGACGTAGACAGAACCCAGCCCTCCTCGGCCCCTTTGTACAGCATTAAGCATAGCCCTTTTGATCAAAATACCCGGCGCATCCATTGATTTTCCGTCATCGGGAGGGCCCCATGAGCAGGAATAAATTTGGTTCTGTTGGTACGCGTAATTCAGGGCGATGGCCTCGTCGGCATCGGTGATGAGCTTCGAAAGAATCCTTATCCCGGCAATCTTGGAGTTATAGGCAACTCCGACACCACAGACGTTATTCTTGGCAGCCCCAATCTCTCCAGCGCAACGTGTGCCATGCCTGTCGTCGCTCAACTTTGGCTTTGGCTCCAGACCGGGATCGTTGAAGTCGTAGGACCCTTCAGCAAAGTAGTTCTCCATCAGATCTTCGCTGTACATGTCCAGTCCATCGTCGACGATAGCCACCGTAGCATTGTGACCCGTGATTCCTTGAATCCAAACGTCCGTGACGTTCACATCGTGTCCTAGCTGCTTGTTGTTGTATAAATGCCATTGATCGTTGAATATCGGATCGTGAATTCCAAGGAGCCGTTTTACTTCAGCTTGCCTGGCCACACCGACCGGGTTCTCGACCTCAATTTCTCGTTCTGGGAATGCGCCTGACGCCCTCTCCTTGATTATAGGAACTATCCCCCTCTTCTCCATGCGTGGCTTCAGCTTCTGCTTCAGCGCAAGCTTCACGCCATCTAACACATCGGCCTCGCTCGCGCCTCGTCTCCGTAGCTTCCTCCTCGCCTTGATCGCATCTTGCACCCGGTCGTCCTCGTGTCTCGCTGCGGAGAAGATGTGGTGGTCTTCGAGCTCGCCCAGCTGGCCCTCGTGGGATAGGCCAAGGCGCTTTTCTATTTCTGCGGGCGCAGCGTCGGAGTCGATATGGAGGACATAGTAGTCGCTGGCTTCGTAATTTCGTGGCAGGAGGTTCGCGGCGCTGGTGAAGCATGTGAGCGCAAGAAGCCCCACAAGGGATAGGCCTCTCATGGCGACTCAATCGGGGCGGAAGAGTCGAGCGGGGGGGCTGGAAACGGTCGGCACCTCCCCAGGTCAACTGTGTATGTGTATAAAGAGCGTGTCGGGTGTCCCATTGACGTCGGGAGTCGTGTCTTCGAGGCAGGTCGAGTGTTCGCAAGGGGGTCGTGTGAATGGAGGATTAATCGTTTCTGGGGCGGATTCCAAATTACAGTTGTAAGAATAAAAGAGGCAACCTAGTCGCCACGGTGGAAAAACATGTATAAGAATAATAAAAGCGAAGCCCTGTTACAGAATCATCTGATGAGAGAGGGTATAGAAGATAATTGAAGAGCGTGAGATATGGAGAAGCAGCAGTTGCAGTTGTAGTTGCCTTTTATTGATCAAAACGATCTGTCTCCTTGACTCCTTGACTCCTTGGGGAAAGTCAGTCTCGTTCTCCTTGGGGAAAGTAGTACGTAGCCCATACAAAAGTGCCGTCCGGAGTCGTACAATAGTGGTCATGTAGCCACTGAAGCCAAGAGTTGTCTCGGAGGGCAGATTGGCGCCTTACCTATTAAGATTAGGTCATTAAAAACGGAATAACTGACGCACCGGGCCTATATTAGGCTTACTTACTACAGTCAACTGTTATAAATACAACGATATCTAATTGATTGGCTATCATTTGTCGAAATTCGGGATTGGCTACGTTAGGTTATAGCCCCACTTCCTCCTTCTATAGGCTTAGCGCATAGAGTTTTCTCCGCGCTAAGCCTATATTTGTTTGGATTTCGTCCGTAATATGTTTACAGGTTTAAACACATGACCACTTACGGCAGGCAGAGTCACAAACCGGCGCCTATGGCGCTGGTGCACAATACTTGTCAATAACATATTACATTATAGTGAACCCCTGCAGCTTTGATTCGCTACAAAATGGTGAAATCCGTGATGGTTAAAGTCTAGCCTAGCCCCACTTCTTCCCTCTCTAGGCAGGGGCCAGAGTTTTCATCTGCTGTCCCGCTAAGCTTACTAACTTACAGTCCGTACCTGTCATCCTTAAACCCTATCCATAACTTAGCTTCGTCCGTAGCCCTTATAGTATATTGTTAAACCTCTCTACGATAACCTGTTTATTTATGGTGTTAATATGAGTTCGTCCCCACCCATTTGGTGTTCCCACTGCCATGCGTACCAGGAGCCATCTCTCTTTCGGATGAATCGCCTTGCTGTTACGACGGAACAAGAAGGCTGGCCAACTACAGGACAGGAAGGAGGGAGGTCGCATGAGACCGGCCCTGGTACCTGGAGGGGCAGCGGGGAATAGTAGTTCCGAAAGTATCACGTGACGGACTCGCAGGATGATGAGAAGAGTCCTAAGAGTCCAGGACTCCGAGGACTCGAGTGAGTTCCCAGGAGTCCACTAGGCACGTGATGGACTCGCAGGATGATGAGAAGAGTCCTAAGAGTCCAGGACTCCGAGGACTCGAGTGAGTTCCCAAGAGTCCACTAGGCACGACGCCACTATATAAGTAGATAGTATTTCCTTAGATAGGAGCTTCGTGCTCAACTCAATACAGTATTTGTTATATACTAGTAACGTGTTACTTGAAGCCTTTGTGTCTGATCCCCTGCCTCCTCTGATAAGTAAACCCTTACGCAAGAGAACCTCTGTGTCTTCTATCGTTTAGAAGTCAGCGTTACACTTGCCCGCCAGTACGCAAACTGCTCCCTATGCTCTACCTCACGCACGTATCGGCATAGCGTGCAGGCCCGTAATAGGGCATCGTCACCTAGGGTGACTACTTCTGTTATATTGTCATACTGACATTCGTTGCACTCAGTTTGCTATCAAACTCAAGAGCAAACTTAGAAATCTCCTCCTCAAACCTACAAGTCACCATACATATCTTGGCTTATCACACCAACAACAGAAGCAATACTACTCAACGATTGCTGCAAACTCTTCTACTACATCTGTTTATGCTACATACATCACGGCATATCATTTGAACACTCATTAAACAAGTTATTAAGAAAATCTCCTCCTTAAGGGGGTGGGCCAATACTACCACATGGCATATCTCTACCAACTAGAGGCCTAGGAACATGAACGATAGCTCTAGAAGCTTCTACAACCCTCTATGATTCATTACACGTCATCGCTCCTTAGTTACCCACAAGATTGGTTAAGTTATGACATAATTTATCTATAGGTACTCTGATCTTGGACCTCCTTTTCACTTCCTATAGGCTAGGAACCCAAGAGATGGTTCTATGGGATTCTCTTACATTTACTACATGATTAGCAAGCTAGTTTGGGTCGCACTTGATTTCTAATACATTTACCAAGCCTGGTTAGTCATGGAAAGTCATGGAAAATGAGAGAACTACACTCCTTTGGCATAAATAGGATTGCCCTTTCCTTAAGAAAGGGCAAGCAGGCAATACAGTAAATCGACTATCACATACTTCCCCGTCTTTTACAAAAGCATTAATCTTGTTACTCCTTGTTTCTGAAAAGTCAGTGAGGTGTTAACCTCTGACTTACCCCTGAGTTCCCAGACTCAACATTTGTTGCAACTTGTCTGAACCACTTCACTACATCACACACCTGATTGCTGCATTGTGGAATAGTCTAAGCTACGACCCTTTGGCTCTGTTTCCTAAGACAGTGTGTTGTCTTAGTAAAATCATCCCTTCCTTGGGTGGCTAGATTCTCACATCTGGTGCACCCACCATTACATATATCCAGTATCTAATAACTAACAATCCATCTATAGTCTGTTACGGACAGCTTACCGATGGTTACGGACGCTCCAATGCAACAACGCCGCGGCCGCGGTCGCCCTCAACGGCAGCCTCCTACGTCCTTACCAACTCGACCTATTGCTCTACACGGTATGCAGTCTATGCCTACGAATGACCATATTCTGCCTCGCTCTACTAAGCCACCTGGTTTCCTCTCTCAATTCGTTACGGCTGCCCCACATGACCTTGGACAGCTTAATCATGAGTGTGAATACTGTGCGGCGCTACACTGGGTGGAGGAGGCTACACAGGATAGTACGAGAGCTGCTGTAAGAAGGGGGACGTTAACTTACCAGCCTTATGGAGGCCCCCCTTTTAAGGAAGCTGTTTACAGACCAAAATCTGCTAGGAAGAGGCTTCCGTAAGGAGATCCGTGAGTACAACAACGCCTTAGTGTAATGGTGGGTGCACCAGATGTGAGAATCTAGCCACCCAAGGAAGGGATGATTTTACTAAGACAACACACTGTCTTAGGAAACAGAGCCAAAGGGTCGTAGCTTAGACTATTCCACAATGCAGCAATCAGGTGTGTGATGTAGTGAAGTGGTTCAGACAAGTTGCAACAAATGTTGAGTCTGGGAACTCAGGGGTAAGTCAGAGGTTAACACCTCACTGACTTTTCAGAAACAAGGAGTAACAAGATTAATGCTTTTGTAAAAGACGGGGAAGTATGTGATAGTCGATTTACTGTATTGCCTGCTTGCCCTTTCTTAAGGAAAGGGCAATCCTATTTATGCCAAAGGAGTGTAGTTCTCTCATTTTCCATGACTTTCCATGACTAACCAGGCTTGGTAAATGTATTAGAAATCAAGTGCGACCCAAACTAGCTTGCTAATCATGTAGTAAATGTAAGAGAATCCCATAGAACCATCTCTTGGGTTCCTAGCCTATAGGAAGTGAAAAGGAGGTCCAAGATCAGAGTACCTATAGATAAATTATGTCATAACTTAACCAATCTTGTGGGTAACTAAGGAGCGATGACGTGTAATGAATCATAGAGGGTTGTAGAAGCTTCTAGAGCTATCGTTCATGTTCCTAGGCCTCTAGTTGGTAGAGATATGCCATGTGGTAGTATTGGCCCACCCCCTTAAGGAGGAGATTTTCTTAATAACTTGTTTAATGAGTGTTCAAATGATATGCCGTGATGTATGTAGCATAAACAGATGTAGTAGAAGAGTTTGCAGCAATCGTTGAGTAGTATTGCTTCTGTTGTTGGTGTGATAAGCCAAGATATGTATGGTGACTTGTAGGTTTGAGGAGGAGATTTCTAAGTTTGCTCTTGAGTTTGATAGCAAACTGAGTGCAACGAATGTCAGTATGACACTTAGCTTTTACTTCAGTCAGCTACACTCGCGATTCACGCATTCAGCAGAACGGTGGTATACAGAGCTTTCAAATCCATGGCGAGTTATTCCATGAGCAGGGCCCCCTACAGCCTGTCACGGTTTACCAAGGCATAGGGCACCAGTTGGATCCAGTCGTACGACCTTAGAAAAGCCCTTTAATTGTCTTAGTCTAGAGCTCTAGTTGTGTAGCATTATGAGGTGTTTTAGGTACCTAACGGTCGTCCTTATGAGAAACAATCACAGGCAGAGTTGGTGTCTATAACTGAGTATTTAGGTTCAATAGCACCCGTTTAGGGTCGCATGGAACTAGACCTATAGCTGTGAATCCATTACAAACTGTATTAATAGTCATAGACTCTTTACGGGCTGTAAGGTAATCTGTGTCACGGTTCACCAAGGCATAGGGTGCCAGTTGGGTATTATGAATTAAACTCAATCTAGAGAAGAAAGGAAAGAGAAGAGGAGCACTCGAGCAGTGGCTCGATCTATATACAGCTATGTTGTTGTGGAGTGAATTCTCTTTAGCGAGACCAGTTCTGAGAATTCACTCCACAACCGAAAACTTCGCTCCAACCCCGGAAAGCTCCCCACACCCCTGAACCCCCACTCGAGCTGCAAGGCGCACTTGATATCGTAACAATATCCTCCTCTTGATATTCCCCTGCCACAGTTTGTAAGGCTCTCATTTTCTCTTCTGTAGAAGCTGGGATAGATAAGGCTTCTCCGTGTCGAACTTTTAATGATATCTTAAAGCGCTTCTTAAATCCCTCAAGCCATCCAATGCTGAACTCTGGGACTGGCTTGCCAGAGTGTTCTGGAAACTGGCGCCAGATATCTCTTGCCTTTGTTTGCAGAAGCTCTCCAGTTGTAAATCACCCTCTTGCTTCAATACGCTGCTGCCATGCAAAGAGAACCTTCTCTAAGTCAGGCCAGAAGCCTTCTCGAAGTCGCACGCCTTGTGGTGTATTATTCAGAAACAGTTGACTGGCTAAGTTTGTGATTGTATTCATGGAGGAACCATTCAATGCATTGCTTCTGTGTAGACTTTGGGTGCTGTCGATGTGCCCAGCGACAAAGGGCGCACCTTTGTTCTAATGTAATACTGTGCCTCTAAGTTGGGCAGTGGCCAGAAGTAGAGCGACTCCTTATTATATGGCAGCAACGAATTCAATCACGTGGAGGTTTTACAAGCAGTGATATACTACAAGAAAAGGCTCGAGAGATTTGGCAACAACTACCAAACGACGATAATCTACAATGCCCAGACTTCTCAACTGGCTGGCTCCATCAATTTAAAGCACGATATCATATCAAGGTTCATACAAAACACGGCGAAGGAGGCTCTTG